ACTGCCAGGTTATAGTAGTTATGATTATGTCTGCTGGAACGATATCCAAAACTTATCAACGGCGTAGTATTAGAAGCTGTAAACAAACTTGAGGCAAACTATTGCAATTTCAAATTATGGTCACTAAATCTATAACAGCTTAGTCATGTCTTCAATACATCAACATCAATCAAAAACAACACTATACATACACATTAATTCAAAGTGACTTTACATGTATTACAATATCTGATAACATAGATAAGAGATAGTTTGTGTATAATAATATTATTAATGTATGGTTCAGAGCTTATACTATATAATGCGTATTTATTATAAAAAATAAATTTTGTAAATAGAGTTAATAGTAATAGAGTTGAAGTTGCATATATATATATATATATATATATATATATATATATATATACAATAAATTAATTTTATCTTTATCAAAATCTCATTACGTTATACGTAAAAGAAAACTTTTTTGAAACTAATAACTAGTTCATGAACTATATACGTTATGAAAATCAGACAACAAACATCTGTGCATACAAACATAACTCAAAACATGTAGATCTAAGCATATAGATATTTGAAAAGTTCGTTTTCCTAAAACTAGCTAGCAGTTCAATCCAAAATCTGTTTAACCTAAAGCAATCACGTAATAACGGATTGCCTAACATAATCATTAATACATGTAGGGACTATCCCTAAAAAACAAATTATTTCGTACAAGAAAAAATATCTTTCCTATGCAAATTACTATATTTTGTTTAGCTCAGCTCGTAATAGGGGGCGACCAGGATTATGACCACAATAGACCTCGGTATTGAAATGTAGAAGGTGTAAAGACACGAATCGCTACAGATTAGAATCCTGTTAATAGTTAGGTAGGTACTTTGTTGTAATCTAATTGTAAAGGGTGCGTGACGCCCGCATTCTGCGGAAAGGTGGCAAGTTCCTGAGAGCTATTATTTAGCCAATAACCCTCCTCAAGAAGGCGTTTGAAAGTGTACAGTACCTATCTCAAAAGTGTACTTACGCGAAGGTTGTTAAGAAACAAAGAACCTACATATACGAGTATGAGATGTACGAGGCAGTAAGACATCGTATGTGGACGGAAAAGAAAACAAAAGATCGTAAAAAATAACTATTATGTACAAAAAGAATTAATTAATTAATTTGATGTAATTTTGAAAGTTTGATAGTTCAGACCAAAAATTTTGAAATTTAGAAATAAAATTCCAATTCGATCATTATCTTTTTCCGTAGAACAAGAAGTTCTTTTCTCTCATTAAAATAAGCAAGTATCTACTTAAATTGTAATATATAAATACCTATTCAAGTACTACACATTCTGTTTGATACGATTTTCACCAATGATTTTTATTTCCACGAACTAAATTTTTCGCTTGAAAACTGGCGCATTTTTTCCAAATTATAGACTTCACATTATTCGAAGCATCATCGAATTTAAACAATAATCTTTACAATACACAAGACAAAGTTTGGATATGCCCAAGTCTGCTATTTTTTCAAGTTCAATACTAAGGAAATTACTCTTGACAAATGGGCATTCATTTAGTCCCAATTTCACTTGAGAGACAGTGCGCGGCTGTGGCGTAAACGCTTTTGTTTTAAATTTCTATAAAACAATATTATGGTGATGTGTTGTGTGATAAAAAATCACTCTTTAGCGGTTTTAAATCGAGACAGCAATAAATTCTTCAATTTTCATTCAATTACATATATAATAATAAGTATATTTTATATCAACCAATCGTTACACTACCGGGCAATTGGACATTGATCTTCTTTACCCATAAAATGAAATTAGTCTATTGTAAAGTGAACGCATTCGAATGTATAAAAAATGTTCTCTTCGTAGATGAATGATTGGATTTTTACAATCGACGAACACACCGAAAAGTTGAGGTTTTTTGTAAAATATATTTGTAATGTATAAAATACTATACACAAGTGTAAGAGAAGAAAAATTCGTAATAAAGGCGTAGTTATATTTTTTTATGTATCTTTGAATAAGAAACCAGCTGACGACTCACCTGACGGTAAGTTTTGATCGTCAACTACGAGTATAGATATAAACAGTACCATAGACATGTATACTATAGTACATCATCATCATATCAGACGTTACCTATCCACTGCTGAACATAGGCCTCCCTATAGACTATATAACTGCTATAAGAAACAGGGCCGTTCCTTACAGCAGTTCACTATTGGGAGGCTTTTGCGAGTAGTTGCCTCGCTTGGCAATCAAGTAAGAAACTGCTATTTCTCATTGGTGATATTTAAAGACAGATGCTGCTGCCCATCGCTAGACCATTTTCTATTAATCACCTCTTACGACACCCACGGGAAAGGATGGAAATACTGTGTAGTATATATATATATATATATATATATATATATATATATATATATATATATATATATATATATATATATATATATAATATATATATATATAGTACTTAACTGTATATATATATATATATACAGTTAAGTACTATAGCCTTCTTTTATGGAGAAAGACCAATGTCAAGAGTATAGGACTTTTTATATATTTAAATATATATAATAATTCTTAGTCTATATTAAAAATCATACAATAGATATATACATGCAGTGTGTTCTAGAATATGATATATTACCGAATTAAGTATAGGTACACTATGCAGGTACTTAACAATATACTGTATATTATTACTAGCTTTTACCCGGGACTATGGCCGCGTGAACGGGATATGTTTACTGAATAACCGAGATAAAAAGTAGCCTATATCCTTCTCTATCCCATATATTACATATATACTAAATTTCATGGTGATCAACAATCAGATTAATCCATTAAAGCACTATAAAGTCACTTTCATACTTATAATGTTAGGATTAGCAAGGATTCATCATCATCACCATCATCATATCAGCAATTAACCACCCACTGCTAAACATAGGTCTCCCCCATAAAGGGAAGTTTTGCCAGTAGTTAGGATGCTTGACAGGCGTGTTTATAACCGTGGTTAGCCTTTGATGATATTGTAAGAGGAACGCTGCCGACTATCCGTCAACCATAGTTCCTTTTGTCGCCTCTTGATACTTAACAAGGAATGGCCTACTCTGTACCGGGACTACACAGCAAATTAACAAGAACTATAGGCTATGAAACAGTACTATTACCTATATATACAGGTACAGGTATAGGAATATCTACAGGTTTAATTAAATTCATACAGTGCAGCAGCATTGTATAGATTCAAGCAAACCCAATAATGAAATGAACTTTGATAGATAAATATTTGCCAATAGCCTGAAGAAACAAGCTGCAATAGCCATATAATGATATATACAACATTGATCTGGTATCTGAATTAATAAAAAAAGACCATTATTTTCTTTTTCTTTGTCATTTGACCGATTGCATTCAGAAGCATGGAAAAGGACAAGTTAGAAATTTCAAATCCAAATAAGAACTAATGTGAACTATATATGGGTAATCCGAAAAACATGCAGGCTAGAAAAAAATATAAGGTACAATATTTAGAAGAATTAATGAACAATCAAGGATAATTTAAAATATTATTGTGGAAGATTCTCGAGGGCGACATCGTACAGTCAAAGGCAGTATTAAATGATCAATCACTAAATGGAGCATCGACCCCAAATGTGTCCCAAAGGGAATCATATGGACGCTGGTTACTAATAAACAAAACAGATTATGAACTTAGTTGTCATAAATAATTAGAGATTGCGTGCCACAAAAAAAAAACGAATTTAGTTGTGATAAAATTAGTTATTTTAAAAACTAATGAACCAATTTTAATATTTTTTTATGGGATTTATGTGTAAGTAAAAAGAAATAAAAATAAATTAATTTTAGATAAAAAAGAATTTTCCAAATTGATTTCGAACTGACAGAATTTCATAACTCTGTCAGTTCAAAATCAATTTATCTACAAAAAAATTAACAAAAAGTAAAAAATTTACAAAAAAAATAATCAACCGAATTGGTAACCTCCTTTTTTTTGAAGTCGATTAAAAATTTATTTGTACTTTTTCCTTAGTTCAATTTTGATCAAAAGGCTAGAGAGACGGTTAAGTTAGAAAATTCATCACTTTATCTTTCGAAAATAAATACATGTCATAAGTAGTTGCAACAAACTAGAAATAGCGTACTTTCCATCAAGGACGCAGCGACCCAAAAATGGGATAGGTCATATGCTGGGTAAAGCGTATGGACTAAATATTAGAACATAAAATAGGACGCAAATATTTTTTCTAATGAAAACTAGGCCTTACTCGTATATGTAACTTCTATTGTAGATCCGTTAATTTAGGATATGTTTTGTCTGTCAACAATTAGATTTAGAATAGAATTAGATTTTGGAATTCTCTTACTTTAATACCTATTATGCACCTTTGTACGCCTACCGGTACTCACTTCTACCGAAAAATCTAATCCTGTCGTTCGAATTGAATGTAGTCGTGTATCTATAGTACACGATTAGATTCGATTGTATGTTCAGAAACAGGCAATATTGCATGGATGAAAATAGGATGGCATTACTATTTAAAAATAAAACCCTATATAGACACTAGCATATTAGATACAAGAGGGACTTAATCTGTAATGTTAGCGATATGTCCTGTCAGATCGATGTCCATACGTCCCTCGAAAAACATTGCTCTAATAGAAACTATTTTTTTTATGAATTCTTGACGAGTTCGCCACAATGGGATAAATGATCTGACATAATCGCCATCGTACCATTAGCACAGATATTCTTTGCTTGCTTGCTATAATACTTCCACAACGTAGACCAAATTCCTAGGCATTTATTATCAATTCATCAAAGTTGAAAGAGGGAGAAAGTAATGCTTTCATTACACCACAAATATATGTATATAGAAATAATAAATATTCTCTACAGTATTAGAATATATTGTTCCCTATTTCAAAATCAGTAAGGGGTATATGTATTTATTAAAACTAAATATTGTATTTATACGATCATTTATTTTTACTACCATAAATATACGTTTTAGGGGTAAAGATACATCGAGTAAAATGAGATTCCATCCTTAATATAAGTAGATACACGAGATTCTAATTCTGAGGTCTTATAGAAATCGTGAAATACTTTCATTCAAACTGTTTTAAGACAAAATGTAAATGACGATCCGTTCTGAATGAGTTAGATACGTTACTCTAAGTACTAACTACTAGTTAACAAAGTTTTTAATCTCCTTTATAATGTAACGACCAGACAGGCGCCATCTACAGTATTATAGACTAACTAACGCTGATAGCAAAAAGCTTTTCAGTAGGATTACAATATCCATTTTTTCCTTTAGATTCAATTAAATCTTAATTAAATATAATCGGTTTGAAATCATATAAACAACATCTTAATTATTAAAGTACTAGTCATCACACCTTTATTAAAGACCTCAGAAAAATAACATGAAATATAACAAATCACTTTAAAAGGATTCATACCGAAGCTTACCGAAGCTTGGCAATGTCAAAATCATTAGCCTATTTTAAGAAACAATTGAACAATTATCAATATTTCTGATTATTTAAAAAGCGATCTAATTGCGAACTAAATTATTAATCATAAAATAAGTTGCATTTTCATGTACCGGTATGAACACTCTCAAATATTCCTCTAGATGATAGCATATTTAAAATTATACAATTAATAATACTATTAGTAAGGGAATGCTATTAAAAGATAAAATGTGCATAAATTCATATGTGTAAAACACGTTAGCTTCATAAGCAATTAGTGCCAAATACTTTGAATATAATATTTAAAATACAAATATAAGAAACTAGACGGTCAGATCATTTTCGTTCTTTAATTAATTTCATTAAATAATTAATATAAAATTACATAATGAAGAGGAGTAATTATTATGTGACATAATTATTAAGCTACTGCTTATAAAAAATAAATTTATAATTTAAAATTCGATTACCTTATAAACAAAAAGTAAAATGTTTTATAAACCTATTTTAACTATTGTATTAGTTTTCTTTTGCAAAATTTTTAAATTTGATAAGGTGACAAAATACTAATAGTTAAAGTAGGCTTAAAGCTTTTAATTTTTATACATAAAAGGTATATATAGCGGTCCATACAATATGGCATTCCCCAGATAATTATCAATAAAAACGGTTCATGATTTATATAAATATAATATTGCAACCAAATCACTGATATAATTACGCTGTATTATAAGAAGCATGATAAAAATTAGGTAATAAAAAATGCAATAGTTATTAACTGGAAAATTATTAGTTCTTGGAATCCTGCAAATATATTATATGTACTTAATAAAATTCGATATACATGTAAAATAGCATATCCCTGTAATCGGATATGAATTGCGCAACGTCAATAAATTATCAAATGTAGCAGACAAAATTAAAAATCAACTTATATTTTGATTTAAAAAAAAACCATCACATTATTACCTGTAGTGTAGTATCTTAATGTTCAGTGCGAGTACTTAATTTTTTTATCAACATCGAAATAAAATCTCGCGATTTCGACAGCACACAATCTTCTGTACTTTCGCTTTTTTACTGTATACCGACGTTAAATGAGAAATATGAATGTACGTTAATTAATTATCTTCTAGTTCAAAATTGAATTGTGCGTTGATATAACGAAAAAAAAATTGGGTGCTGCTTACTCTATATAACATGCTGAATGAAATTAGATTAAACTGGTATTTACAGCTCATATATTCGTAATTTTAAATACTAACATTAAAATAACGTAAAAGAAAAAAAAATTATAAATAACAAATCATTTAAGAATATTTTTATTAAATTAAAATTTATCACTTCAAATGTCTATTTTCAATAACAAATATAAAAAAAAAAAAAACTATTAAATGTTCAAGCTATAACATCATACAAAATTCCCCTCAGTTTTTTAAGTATCAATGTGACACATTTTAATCACTAGCGACGACACGTTACATTCTGATACATAATTTTAGTTTTAATCTACAATATGTAAAGAATACATTTTTAGTTTTAAATATTGCTATTGCTCCTATAGACATTTGAGAAAATATACTGGATTCTTATTCATATCAAGTACATTTATAAGATATACAAATACTACCACGTATACACGTATTACTTCACAAAATATTAATAATAGTTCTAATAAATAATTATGTATATAGAGTAATAAATAATCTATTATAAATTATTACACAATATATATTGTTATTAACTACGGGGTCGATTCTGTGGTGCCATTTCTCACGACCTGTCTCTTAAACCAAAATTTTAATTTAATAGTTTTACAAAAGTATTATTGTATGGCCCTTTACGAACTAAATTTATAATAATTTTGACCAAAATCCATTAGGAATTTCGAATATATTAGTCCTTATATTTTACAGTGATAGCAAATTGTAAATTTAATTTTAGAAGATTAGAGAATGGCGCTACAAAAAAAACCTCATTATCTTCTTTACCTGATTTAAATACTATTCAAACTACAGAATATAATACTTATAGAGAACTTAGTTCCTTGTTTTGTGCATCATAATTTAATAAATTAAAAGTACTAACTAATAAAGGAGTAAAGTATAATAGTAAATCACAATATGAGAAAGAGACTAACGTCTTAGTGGGGGGGACATCGTTATCCAACATTTATTATAAATAATTTCAAATATATTATTTTTGTCACAACTGTTCGTATTTTAACAGTATATTATAATAATTTAGCGTTTATATTTATATGTTTCAATAATAATCAACAAATCTTTAATTTTGTAATGAAACATTGTTTCTAAATAGGAAATAACATAATTATTCCAAAGGTATATTAATTCATTTCAAATTATTTGAGATTTACTAGATTATTATTTTAGTATCTATAAAACATGGTCGTAATACACTTAATTCTATGTATATAATGAAAGAACTTTTTTAGAAATAAATGCAAAAGAATGATATTTGGAAACTACATACTAAAAGGAATGCTCAAAATTCAAAAAGGTACATACACATGCATGAAGTCATTTAAATCTAATTATTGGTAAATAAGAAAAATGCAAAATTACTCTATCCAGTCTAGTACCCATAGTACAAACTCTGTTTAATTTGTAACTAGGTGGCGCTGTATGATATGCCATTTTTTAAAAAAGCCATTAGAAAAATGTTACATTTAAAAATGCTAATAATTCTGTCAAAACGGTTGAAAAAGACTAGATAAACTAATAAGATGAATAGTAATATTAAGTAATAAGTTATATTAGGTAATAAAATTGTGCCATTACTATTTCTACTATTTCAGTCTTCAAACTTAGGGAATGGAAAGAGAGGTATATATTTGAGATAGACTGGTTCAAATGCATGCGTGATGCATGCAAAATTTGCACATTATTATACTTAAACTATAGTCCATGCTTATATCATGATAATAAATGTATAATCCGTGCTTGTATCGTGATAATAAACGATAGGGAAGACTTGAAATACAAATCACTTCATTAATAGGCCCGTAAAATGTCACTGAGAAAGAAGAGTGGGGCGGGGTATCACATTATGAGGTGTAAAACCAAACACGATGAAGATTACTAGGGTAACGCTTGAAAAGAATAACACATGGCGGCGATGTGCGTTGTTTATCACACACCATTGGAATTTAAAATAATGCAGTCGAGGATTTTTATTTCGACATGTTCAAAAATATAGTTAACGACATAATATAGTCACACCCTGCTCCGCATTGAGACCAACTTTATTGGTTACATTGAAAGCGAAAATATATCACAAAGGAGTATAAAATGCTTTTATTTGACATTTGTAACAGTATTCTAAAATTATGAATTTGAAGAGAATGCACAGAATGGTCTACGTTTGACTTTACTTTTCTGGCCACTCTTCAAACTGGGATAACCATGTTGGATAATATGTATTGCAAATACGAATTATTTTATCCTCCTATGTACTTATACACTATTCAAAATTGTAAAACCCCCAACATATGATCTCATAATATTTAAATGGAATTATAAAACTGATATCGATCCATATATTAAGAACTATGACACCACAAAGACAAAGATCTGAAAATTAATGGTTTGAACAACAATATATTAAAAACGTGCGCTCAGCAAGCATGCATGAAAATTTAAGTGCTATAAATGTTATCAACATTTACATAAAATAATTTTAACATTTTATCTTTAAAACTAACCTATTTTTGAATAATAACTATTATGAGGAATACGAAATAAAAACAATTTCAGTCATACTGTAATGATTTCGCTCACTGCATTTCATTATATTGTAAATATATCGCATACTAAAATTGAAACAGAATACGACTGAACAAATTAAAATCTGTCCTAATTTTGTGAAATTTGAAATAAAGCTACTTTAAAGGCTTACCTACGAGTACGTCTATGATAACTATATAATTAAATGCATGCTACAACGATATGCAATGTATTATTTAAAGAGAAAAATACTGACATTTGCAAAATAACTTTTTCCAAAATGCAAACACCAAAAGTGTAATTTGGCAACATTTTTTAATGGATATGCGACACCGACATTCATTTGTCAACTACGCGAAGCGATCATAACACAATCTCATTCTTAATGGTGTTAACAATCACGAATATTTAATAGAATACTTAAAAAGCCACAAATATTGGTGTTTGCCGTTAAACTACATGGATTCGGTCCAATCGAGACAGCCGAGTCTCTATAAAAAATTTATTTATATAACAGTTTCTTGTTCCGCTTAACTTGAGAATCATATAGTAGGATCTTATTCCCAGTTTACCAAAATGGTGTTTTACTTCTCCATGTGTGTTTATTGCCTATACTTTGACTATTATTATTGATCCAACAAACATCAAAAAGTATCATCTATAATCATAGATAATTTTGTACATATTGTATAAAATTAATAGGTACATTTTAGTTACTGTAAAAGATGTCATTACTAAAATGTTAACGAAATGTTGCGCCTATAAATATTTATATTGGGCATTGCACATTTTATTGTATACAAATAAAATTAATAAGTATGTATTGTTTATGTACTGACAGAAAATTATGCTTTTATAATGTTCATATATAATCCTATTAATGTACGGATGACGTTTCTATATATTAAAATATCATGTTCTCGATTTCACAAACTTATACTTATCATTACAGATCTTCAAATATGCAATAAACCGCAAAATCATTCTGCCGAGCTTATTCATATCCCATGTGGCAGGAGGCGAGCCTGCCACAGCCTCAATCTCGCAGATTACAATACAAATACAATCTACACCTGATAACATTTTACATTGCTATATACCCTTGCGTTTATTATAACAATATTAAATAACCATTGGTTTTTATAATCTTGAACACATTAGCATTTTACTTTTGCCCTTAACAAATCAGTGCGCTGATTGAAAAAAAAATTACGATTTCCTGACGAGCAAGCTGCACGCACTGAGGCCAGTGGATATATTGGCCAACTCGGAGAAACAAATGGATCTTCTAGCAAAATCAATTTTTTCACAGAACACCTGGAATAAAATGGAAAGCATGTGTTTAATTGATTTCTTGGGCGCTGTTTTTTTAAATGTTACGCTTTTACTTGTTTATAAATAAGTAAAACTGACAATCATCATCAAATCAACCGTTACCTGTCCACTACTGAACATAGGCCTCCCCTATAGACTATCATAAGTAACAGAATGGTTCCTTATGGCAGTTTACCATTAGAGGAGTTTGCTAATAGTTACAATGGTTGGAAGGCAGGTTGGCAACTGCAGGCTTTGGTGATGTTTTAATAGTGTACATTAAGTTCCCTTAATCGCCTCTTACGACAGGGCCACACAACAACAGCAACCAAAAACCGAACAATAATACTTTTTAATTAAATCATAGTGGCAAATTCAAATCTTACTTACTTACTCTTATTGCAAATTAATAATTATAATAATAACCAAAAAATTCTTATTGAATTGTCATTAAAATTTTAGAATTGGATGATAAAAAAATATTAAAGTAATAAACTTCAGTCATTTACCAATCTACTAGCATACAAGCACTATTATTTGAATGCTGTAACATGGCATTAACAGTACTTAAAATAAATAGTCAAAAAGGGATTTTGTATTATTTAATTACATATTATGACACATTAGAAAAATAGGGACTGTAATTATACTATTTTATTTTTAAACAAATAGTGTCCTGTCAAGACTCAAGCAAATTGTATATAGTAACATAGTGGAACAATATCTTTCTAATGTTAATAAAACCCACCAGGTGCGAGAACTCACACACTGTATTCTGTACATAAATATATATAACATAAAATTACCTTTATTGCACTTCTCAAGCGAAATAGAAATCTAAGGATTATTATTATTGATATTACAATTAATAATTTCTAATTTTGGACCGTAATTGTGATTAAAATCTGGGCTGCATAACTAAATTTGTTTTAGGAAGTTTTTTGATTTTTTCTCTAAAACAGTGCTAGTTTTTTTTTTTTTTTTTATTAGTAGAAAATGGAATAGTAACCCCACCTGCGCTAACGTGATACGCTGGCGGGGCACCAGTGAAGAATGATCGATGAGGATGAATACAGACCAGATAGCACATCATGATGAATTCATTAGGAATTAATCATGATAGTTTCCATGGGGTACCGCGAGGAGGTCGACCTGGTTGGGTATATTGCTAGCAATGGGATTCTCAAACTCCATTACAAACAATCCCTTTCCCCCCAAACAATGCTAGTTAGAAACATCATTTTATTTTTTCTTTTACATTCACCTGTATTTCATAATTTCACAGAATTTTTATTGTGAAATTACAAACTACAGTTTGTGTATTTAACCACAGTTACACAATGCTGATACATAACACTATGGCATATGACCGGATGAACAGACAGACAAACAGTCGCACCATAAGAGTTCCTTTGTACGTGTTTAGTATGGAACCCTAAAAATGATCATTTGGCATGACAATTACCTTGAAGGACTCTGGAATTTCTTCTATAGCCCTATGTATTAAAGTCCCATTGATATAAAGACAATTAGCAGCCTCGTCTTCCGTGACAGACAATGTTTGATACGAAAACGTGGCTTCTCTCTCCATTCTCTTTAACATTTCCTTAGCTTCCTTACTGGCACCTACACACAATATATCTGGTCCCGCTACTGTTATGTACTTTTTCAAATGCTGTGCTCCTTTGGAGACCTGTAACGAAATTCATGAAAACTTACAAAAAAGTACTTCTTTTTGTCCAAATATCTTCTAATCCAAATAAGGCACTAAAAAATTTGCTAGCACACAGTTATAAAGTCTGTGCTATTTATTAAACAATATTATTCAGTAGGCGCGCGCACTAAAAGTACACAATGTAGTGTTTATAAATTGTTCACAAATAGAGTATGTTACTAGGAATATTCCTGGTTCAATGCCTGATCGGGTACATTTAGAAAATCAGCTTTTTCAAATTGGTTTTGATATCATATCCTTCTGGTATCCTAATACGAGGTGCATGTCCTAGTACATATTTACATTATATAAATAATTTAAATAAATACCAGTGGTCATATTAAACAGTGGCATTTTTTATACAACTATGACAGCCAACAATCATACGGCCCATCTGATGATAAATAGGGTTACCATAGCCTATGGATGCCTATAACACTAGTAGTATCACGCACGCATTGCCGACCTACGAAAAAACTCAATACCCTATGCCTTTTTTGAAGAACCCCATGCTGTAGCCGCTCTGTGCGTATCTGTTATGGTTTTAAGATGCGAGGATGAATTATTATGTGACCACCTCATTATCACTTCAGCTTGCTCATCCTTCAGGCTACGTCGATCACTTTGGTTCTTCTGCAGATATCCTCATTTCAGATTCTGTCGCGCAAAGAAACTCCGAGCACAGCTCTTTCCACAGCCTTCTAAATAACTTGAAATTTAACATATGGGCAACTGTGTAAGACATAGATATTATATGTAGAAAATACCCAGACTATCACAAATATACTGACCAGCGAAATATGAATAATACCTTGATAGGAGTGCAGGGAAATTCAGGAAAAGCTTCTGCAACTGCACTTGCTCCAGCTTCATTACTCGTTTCGCAAATGCCAACGAAGAATTCGCGACCTTAAATTAATAATAATTATGTCTCACTCCCTCAATATGAAATTAATAGAGAACTGTTTATTTTTTTATTAAATGTAACTAGACGATATCATGTACATTGGACATTTTTAAGAAAAAAATATATATGGGTCTAAATAAGAACATTAGAAGCCAAAACAATAATTCTTAGAAATTTCGTCTGTCTGAATATTTGCACCGGCATTAAGCAAAAACTACAAAACCTAACCGGATGGTGTTTTCATAATTGTATTCCCTAACGTATAATTTAAAATCTGGTATAAGTTTTATCTTTATACACCATCTAGAAGTTATTTTTTTATTGGTTTTCCTAATTATGAGATCTACACTAAATATTAATTAAATACCTCTTATTAATTATAATTTAATATAAATGTATTGCTAATTATATACAACGAATACAAGTAATAATATTATATTGAAATGGAATAATAACAATGGAATTTTATATTTCATCCTTACTCAACAAATCAAATAATGTTATTATTTAAAATTACAGTAAATAAACCAAAAGCTAAGCTGCATTCTGTATATTTCCAACAAGAACTTATTTCAATTTTCCACTATTAGTAGGTACTTACACAAGGTCAGTTGATACTTAAAATTTCAAATAGTCCATGGCCTTAATAAGTGCTAATTACCTTAGTACAGCAATTGAAAGAGTAGGCAGTACTTCATAGGATGGGTATGATTACTAGCGATAATACACAATTACGCCTAATATACATGAAATTGATAGGTAATAGGCATGTCCATTATTACGTCTAGGTCTATAATCTTAAAAAACTCAAATATACATATGTAGGGACATAGTATATATTACTGAATAGAGTAATTAAAAATATACAAACCTAGATGCCAAACTACAAAGAATTAATATATGCATATACACTTATATGAATGCTGATCAACAGATAGATCTATATTTCATTTACATTAGTAGTTGAGGCAGTGTGTTAAACTGAGAAATATATATATTAAGTACAAAATATATTTGATATCCAACTCACCAGTGAACAACACATCAGACCCCATTATCTTAGCATCTGGATCACTTATTTCAATTATTGTCTGCCCTAGATCTTTTCGCAGGACTTCCTTTATTGCTTTCGTCTATAACAAAGTAACCATAGCTACTATGCATTAAGAAATATATAAATGAAATTTTTAAATGAGTGAAAATGGATTACGCTGATGGGGCACTAATGAGAGATATTAGATGAAAATGAAAACAGGTCAGTTGGCCCATTTTAACGACTAATTACTAACATCACTATCCCCCCTATTATTGTTGTCAATCTATATTGTCAATCTACAATGGGATACCACTGCTGAACATTAACCCTAATCCTATTAACCCATCATCCCATGAACCGTCATAGACTACTATAAGAAATACTCCTGAGCTAAACTTAAACTTTTTAAGTTTCAAATAACAGGAGGAAGGCCTCCTCCTGTTATTTGAAGTTATTGTGTCAGTCATTAACTGTCCACTGCTGAACACAGGCCTCCATAAGGGGGGATTTTGCCAATAGTTACCACACTCGGCAGGTGGATTGGTAACAGTAATTAGGCTTTGTTAATGTGTTAAGAGGAATGCTCCTGCCCATCTCTCTCTTGAAGTATTCATTAACTTCCCTTAGTTGCCTCTTATAACACCCATGGGAAAGGAAGGTTTAGCTCATTCTATGCCGGAACCACATGGCACCCATATCACACATTCAATATTATAATATAATTAAATAATTATATATGTGTCAATATGTATAAATACAGAATCATGTGAGGAAAATAAAATAAAAATTTGCTTATTAATAACAATTTACTTATTAATAACAATTCGCTAGGCATACCACTAGGTCAAATTAATTAATTAATAGGTACTCTAGTGCTTTAGTGCTTATTAGGGTCAAGGGAGTGATGTAATCCAGTAATGTTCGTAATCCATTTACATTCTATGATGAATATGGAACTATATTAGCTTAATTATGAACGTACAGCCAATTTATAATAAAAAAAATACACATTAAACAATTCATTATATAATATCCATTATATTATTTAAACTATTTGTACTTAAATCCACTGTTTTTATTGTAAAATTGTGTATAAATAATGAAAACTACTAAGCACTAGAATGAAATATAAGTATTTCAAATATTATCATGTAAACAATTTAACAAATATTCATCAAGAAGTTACAAAAAAAAAACAGTGAATTATCCTCATGAAAACATATTATTAATACCTATAATTCGCAGAGCAAAAATACATTTTATCCAATTAAAATAAAAAACATTAAAAATTATAAGAAAAATACTATTGTCCTATGTAACAAATATTTGTAACAAAAAGTAAATAGTGATACTTACTTTTAGCTCATCAGCTGTAGTAGATGGCTTTGGCAGCAATGCTATACCATGGCATATTATAGCAACATCTTCTAGAAAGACATTCTCTGGAAAAGTGCCCCCAATGTCCACTTCTATCACTTCAACATTTAATTCTCTCAAGAGTCTCGAATAGCAATCATGTTGCCGCCGGGCATCATTCAAATTAGCTTTGTCTGTGAGTCTCAACACTGGTGTCACTTTTCCAACTATTGCATGAGTATATTCATGCATTTTAAAATCCATTATCCTTCAATAATTATTCTTCCTATCTAAAAATCAAAAGTGTAGAAATAAAATATATAAATTAGTCTTGCAATAATATCTACTCAACAAAATGGAGAGCTATCTTAGAGGTGTTTATAGTAGTGTAATTAGGCTATTTGAAACAGTTAATTACAAACTATTCAAAATATAAAAATAAGATAGAAATTTTAAAGATTAAAGGACATATCCTTTATGATAGATATGCCCTCAACTTTTTTATGAGATGTTGATTTTTTAATGGATGTAAATGACATAGTAACTCTGCCTATGCTAATGGTATATGTTGGTTAGGCACCAGTGAAGGATGAGAGGTGAGAGTAAAAAGGTAGGTCAGTTAGCCCATCATGATGAATACAGCATGATGGTTTCTAGGGTGGACCATGTGAAGATCAACCTGACAGGCTATTTTGCTGGCAAAGGGACAGGTTTTTTTTAAATGGGTGTAAATGGAATGATAACCCCACCTGCGCTATCGATATACACTGGTGGGGTACCAGTGAGAGGTGATAAGTGAGGATGAGCAATAGGACTGATAGTCCATTCACAATACTAACAATCTCCCCCCCCCCCCCCTATGAGGTGATATTGCAAAGGTAACTACGCCAGCTGTTTCGGTATACGCTGGCGAAGCACCAGTGACAGATAAAAGATGAAAACGAAGCAGTTAGCCTTATAATTCGCACAGAATCGATCACGATGGTTTCCAGGAAGGACCGTGCGTAAATTGACCTGACAGGGTATATTGCTAGCAATGGATCCGTTATCAACAACGTCGTCCCCTGAACCCTCCGAAATACCATACATTAACGACTTATATAAAAACACAAATATCAAACATCAGTTGTATTAAAGTATTTTCTAAATTCAGCTGCGATTTATCTAGAGTACAGGTATTCTTACCAACAACAAATAGATAGTTACAATTCTCTTTTCGAAGTTTTAATCGAAGGAAAATAAAAATTTATCTAATAAGATATAATAAATTAATATATAGTATAATACAAACCTCAATAAACACCTCTGTCACTCATATAACCAAAGCCCGGTCTATTTTGTAAAAGTATTTCACATGCACTGATAGGTGATAAATTTAGAATAATTTAGATGCAATCTAAGGAAAAATAAAATGACATTATATACCGTTAATACACCTAATGAACTGACAATAATAAGACACTGAGACTTCAGAGGAGACTGTTCATAGTAGAAGACCAATACATATAGTACATAGTTACAATATCTATATATTAGTTTATTATCAAATAACTATTTATTGAGTATCACGATACGATATGATATGTATACGCGATGATGACCTTTTTTTCACCATAATAATCCCGTCGAATCGAGACTAATAAGACTCGTATACAGATATCAAAATATATAGTAACGATATCTCTATAATAACGAATTTAATTTTTAGAAATTTAATGAAAGGAAAATGTTCAAAATTACACACGTGTTAAGCTGGGACGAGCAGCTAGTTCATAATAAATTTAAGTTAAAATTACTATAAATTTAATTTATAGTGGTCTCTAAAACAGTACATTATATACTTTTCAATCCTATCATCGGTGCCAGATTGACTATAAGTATATCGAAGTGCTGAAGTGTACAGTAAAGCTACGATGTCTATTTGAATACAGAACCAAAGTACGAAAGCCATTTTAATGTAGAAATATGTAAAATAGGGTGACATCATAATCATCCCTAAAAGTCTTCATTGGATAGATGCATTGAAAGATGTTTAAAGACTTAAGAGAAACGGGTAAATAATTGTAATACTTGATACAGTAGTTTTCTTTAACACGTATATTGGTATGAACTGATACAACAGTGACAGTTATCGAAAACAAAAGATGATAAAAATTACGTAGAAAAATATGATAACCTGTAATATGCCAATCTTCAAGCGAAGAAAGTAAGGATCATAGATCGAAAATGTCCCTAAAACAAACCTTTCTTCCAGATCTGGTGACTGACCCAGAAACTTGTGAGGCCAATGATAAAAACAGATGCGGGATATAAAGAAATGAGGCATGGGAATTGGTAACATCAAGAAACTTCATGATAAGTATCATCAGGCATTACACAATTAAGACTTACAGTAACGTTCTTACCGTTAATGCTGAAAGTTGCACTTTTACGGTTCTGAGCTAAAATGCGATACGATCCAGAGTATGGTGGTTAAAGAAATCTGCTTCCCGATAATTCATCCCTCGAGCTGTGACCAGTGTATCGTCGGCGTAACATGTTAGGCTCGTACCCGACAGCAATGTACCCCGTAGCACATAATCGAACCCAATGTTCCAAGAAGAGGGCCTGGAACCAAACCCTGTAGAACACCGCGCTTCATCAATTGCCCGTTGCGATCGACACAGATTACCTCCCTGTTCTCCAGGTAGGCCCTAATGATGTTATATAGATACTGGGACACTCCATGAAATCGTAGCCCCTCCATGATGCAACTAAAGGGCAGGGTGTTAAATGCATTAGAGATATCCAGAGATACCGTAAGAAGCACTCCGCCCTGGGAAACAGCTTCATCAGATAGCTCTCTTACATGTGCGATAGCATCGACAGTGGACCGACGCTCCCGAAACCCGTACTGCGATGGAGATCTGGACCTACCCGTGTCAGATGCCGAATGATACGGCCAGCGATTAAAGATAAAGATAAAAAGCCTTTATTCTGCGCTTAATATTATACAAAATTTACTTTTTGATTTTAATTAATATTGCATGCATACATTTTTTTTTTCATTAAAATAAATTATATATTATAATTTTTTTTATAATTAATTAATAAGATTATAAAATTATATTATTAAAATTATATGTTATATATGTCATTATTTTCATCAAATTAAATCTCGTAGCACAGAGTGCCTTATGGCAAAGGCCTCCTCCAACTCCTTCCAATACTTTCTATCCCTTGCTGCTGTACTCCAGCATGGACCTGCTGTTTGTTTTATTTCATCCTCCCATCGTCTCTGTGGACGGCCTCGTTTCCTTTTAGTGTCCCGTGAATACCAAACTGTGATCTGTGAGCTCCATTTATCTATGCTGTTGCGCAACATGTGGCCTGTACATCGCCATTTCTGCTGGTCTATTCGTAAGAGAATGTCTATTAACTTAGTTCTGATCCTGATATCCTCATTTCTCACTCGGTCTTTCCTTTTTATTTGTAACATGCTCCTTTCCATAGCCCGTTGACATCTTAGAAGCTTGTCACGGTGTTCTTTATTTAAAGCCCATGTCTCACATCCATACGTCAGGCAAGGAAGAATGCATGTGTTGAATGTTTTACTTTTTATTGATAGTTTTAGTTCGCTATTTTTCATAATCTCTTTCAAAGACCAGTATCTCTTCCATCCGTTTGCATTCCTTTTATTGATTTCTTTGCACGTCTGATCCTTAAAAGAAATTATTTGACCCAGATAGACATACTCAGTCACATATTCCAAACTGCCATCATCCATTTGTATATCCATAGCAACCGAATTGGTTATGATCTTAGTTTTTGTTGTATTCATTGCTAATCCTACTATCCGACTTTCCTGTGCTAAAGTTTGGATCATTGCTTCAAGTTTCTTGGGGTTTTCTTTGAAGAGGACAATATCGTCAGCAAAACGCAGATGAGAGAGGTGTAATCCATTAATGTTAAGCCCTATACCTTTCCAATTGAGTTTTCGGAAAATACTTTCTAACACCGCCGAGAACAGTTTAGGAGACAATGGATCTCCTTGTCTTACTCCTTTGTTTATTGGAAAATAATCACCCATAGTCTCTAGTTTTATCCTAGCCTTGCTCTTTGAGTATATACCTTGAATTATTTGTATATATGAATAGTTGATGCCTTGTTGTCGTAGGCTTTCCCATATGTACTTGTGTTTCAGACTGTCAAATGCTTTTCTGTAGTCTATAAACGCGATATATAGCGGTTTGTTGTATTCATTATACTTTTCTATAAGTTGTTTTACTGTATGGATGTGATCAATAGTGGAAAAGTTCTTTCGAAATCCTGCTTGCTCAACAGGTTGGTTTTCATCTAGTAGTTTAGATACCCTTTCCAAGATTATTTTCGCAAATACTTTGTACAAGTTCGACATCAAGCTTATGGGTCTATAGTTTTCTATGTCTTCTTTTGGTCCTTTCTTGTATATGAGGATTATGTGAGATTCGTTCCACTGAGTTGGTATCGTTTTTGTTTTCAATATCTCGTTGAAGATCTTCGTGAGTAGTGGTACTATTTCCTTCATGGCAGCCTTTATTATCTCGTTTAATATGTTTTCGGTCCGGGTGCTTTTTCTAGAGGCAGGCTTCTTATTACCTTATCAACTTCAGATTGTAGGATTGTGGGCACTTCGTTTTCAGTGTTGTCTGGGAACATGAGTGTTTTATTTAACATTGTTGTTTTTGTGCTGTGTTCATGGGAATAGAGTGTTTTATAAAATTCTGTTACTATTTCTTTAATAAGTTTTCTGTCCGACTCTATTTTCTCTTTTTTTCTGAGTTTTGGTATCCATTCTTTTCCTGAGTCTCTAAGTTCTTTGAGGGCTTTTTTGACTCCTCCTGATTTTTTTATATGTTTTTCTAAAGTTTCTTGTCTACGAATTCTTCTGTCGCGTCTCATGCTTTCTCTGATTTTTTTTACTAATCTCTGTTACCCTTTTTATGTTTTCTTTTACATTTCGATACAGCCAGCGATTACGCGCTCAAAAAGTTTGGTAGCCTCATCCAACAATATGACAGGGCGGTAAGCCGAAGGTGAATCCAACGGGCGCCCTTCTTTCACTAGCAAGACGAGCCTGCCGACTTTCCATTGCTGAGGAAATAGGCCTATTTGTAAACAGGCGTCAAATAGACGACGGACAATTCTCGAGCTCATCCAAAGCCTGACACAGAGCCTTGCCAGGAACGCCATCTGGTCCCGGAGCAGTCGACTTGGCTCTGAGCTTGTCCACGACTTGGCTCATTTCTGCTGCAGAAACAGGCAGCACCTCTTCCTCTGCAACTTCTTCGGTGGCTAGCCGTCCCATGACCGGAGGGGAGAGCTCAGGCTGAAAGGGAAATAGCGCAGCCACTATCTCTTGAAGCTGCCGCGGCTATAGGGTCTCGGCAACAGGAGGAGCCCACGATCGGAGCTTACACCTAACGCTACGATAAGGGCAGCCCCATGGATCTTGATTCAGGGTCACCAGAAGTTCCTCTTTCGCTCGGGTCTTAGCTTCACTGATTAGACTCTACAAAGTTTTTTTGGCCGAGCAATAAGCCTCGTAGAGCTCAGCCTCGACTTCGGGACGTCGGTCAAGATGCCGGCGACGGTATCTGGTGTATCGCCTTCTAGCGGCGACACAGTCTCTCCGCTCGCTCCGAAAGACAATATCCTCGTTCCACCAGTATACTTACCGCCTTGGAGGAGGCGGTTTGGCTCAAGGCATTGTGGCATCACAGATGCTCTTCATGGCTGCTCGAAACTTAGCCGCTTGCGCTTCGACCTCTATGGACTGCCCCGAATCCAAGAGCCAGAGCTCCGTCTAAACCTAGTCCTCCACGTTCTGCGGCGGTAGTGATTTCGCTGCAATTTAAAGCCACACAGAATGGTCTCAGTTATGCCTCAATCAAGGTGGAAATCAGAATTAAGGTAAACCCTGAAAACTTGGAAATAAACGAGATTAGGTTCAGGCAGGCTGTTACAGGAACCCGGATGCTAGGGGTCCTTGAAACTACCAGCAATAATCACCTGAAAAAATGATGACATTTTAACCACAAAAATGAGAGAACTGTTCCCAGAGAGTCTGGTAAAAATTTCTAGGCTAGTTAAGACAGCAGAAATTAAAATCTGGTCTGGATGATGTCACGATTCCAGCCACATCGAGATTTTTGGATGCCAGCTTCACCCTATCTTCAAGATAGCCACGGAACTGTACGTCTTTAGAGATGTCGATACCAAGGACCCCAATGCTTTTAGAGATGTTAAGAGATGAGCCCTGGAACTGTGTAGTCACAGCAAATAGATTTTTTTAGCAGTTAACGCGCAAGCTTGTATTTCAGCGGGGCTAAACTGGACTAAGTTTTGTCGTCCCCAATCAGAAACTCCAGTTAACGTTCTCTCGATTTCAGATATAAGCTGTTCATGATTGTTCTCCATGATGGAACGAGGAACATTGGTACGACCCGTATAATGGGTATCCCCAATGTTGTCATCCACATAACAATGAATGTCATCTGAGGTTAACATATCTTTAATATGCAACAGAAACAGCGTCGGAGATAGCACAGAGCCCGGTAGGATGTCAGCGTTGATATCTACGCTATCGGAACAGCAAACATCTACAACGATTTTTATGCATCTGCCGGACAAAACACTAGCAATTCATTTATACAGGCTGTCGGAAAGTCCATAGTAGGGCAATTTTGATAGAAGACCTCGATGCCAGACACGGTCAAATGCCTTTGTAATATCAAGACCGACAGTAAGCGCCTCGCCTTGTTTCTTAATGGTTGATACCCATCGGTGCGTAAGATATATCAAGACGTCACCAGATGAGCGACTATGGCAAAAGACGTATTGGCGGTCATTTAATAAACCGAGATCCTCTAGGTATTTCAACAGCTGTGCGTTAACTATACGCTCCATCATCTTAAAAAGAAGGGAAGCGATCGCTATCGGCCTGTAATTTGAAGGGTCCGACTTATCGTCCTTTTTAGGTACAGGATGTACTAGATTAGTCTTCCATGACGAAGAAAATTGCTTTAAAAAGCACAAAATCGTGAAGAGACACGTTAATACAGGACATAGTTTCAGAGAACACTGCTTTAGGACCACTACCGGTATGCCGTCTGGCCCACTCGACTTATCAACTTATATTATCTAAGGAGAGTAACTCCCGCCGGAGTTTATATTGTATTATAGTAATTTCCGGCATGGAGCTTCCGCAACACAACTCATTTTTATGTATCCGTCCGGGTTAGCCCAGGTCCATTTTCTGTGTGACCGCTTTTGGAAGAAGGAGTTCATCATAGAGAGTTCTTCTTCATTAAGTCAGCCAATTGCTACCCCCTAAGATTCCGTTGCTCGATTTCGAAATCCCAAATTCTCGTCTTATCGTCATTCTTTTTGCCAAGTTTAGCATTGAATTGTTCCGTCAATATTGTGTATTGTGTATTAGAGGAACATACAGTTTTCGAAATTTTCTGATACGTTGCCTTCACTTTATCGTCAGAGGGTTTCACGGTCGGCGCATATACCTGTATAACCTTCAACGAATATCTATTAGCAATTCTGAATATCTGATATGCTACCCTTACCGACACACTCTTGATCAATTATATAAAACTTCATCAAGGTGCTAAATCCTATAAGTACCAAGAAGATACTTACAAAATTTGAAATGCAGAGTAGCAAAGCTATCGTTATCTTTTTAGTAGATTGAATTGAAAAAAATGTTGGAAGTACTGTAGAGAGATATTTATGGCATTTTTTTTACGATAACAAAACATTTAATTTCGGTTTAGGGTGTCATTATCCCAATTAGATCGAGATATGCAGGAGGCCTATGTCCAGCAGTAGACAGATAATGGCTGAAATGATGATGATGATGATGATGATAGCTGACTTAATATGTTTTCCTCTTTCATTTATTTCTATTTGTAGTAATTACATTTTAAACATTTACTTCTTTAAATGTTTAGATTATATTTCATTACTACAGATTATATTTATATTAAAATAATACAGATACAGATGTAAAATTGACATAAAATAAAAAATACTATACAAGCATTAATTTAATAACGTATTTTTTTAGCACTGCATATATACATACATATCTATCACGCTTGATTTAGTTTTATGATATATTTTTTACCAATATAACAGTCTAATATGTAAAATGAGATACATTTATTTTTATTTGTTCATAATTAAACCAAAGGTCAAAAAGATCAATATTTGATTAAATCGGATCGTTTCGAAATCCTATTCTTAGTCTATGAGGTGGGTTACTTCCTCACAACTCTATTCTCTATCATTCATTCGTTGTTTTGGGACACGTCAGTTATTTTATTGGAAAATTGAATTCAATCAATTTAAGGACTTTTAACAAAATTTTCCAATATTTATGTTAGTTTTTGTGGTGAATTGTGTTGTAATTCTATAATAAACCAAACATTTTATGATTTCTTGGTGAGTTGATTTAATTTGCGTCAATCTGTTATGACTAAGAATCAAATAAGTAATTATTTAATTATTTTTTGTCGTTTTTTACGTGAATAAATATTTTCCTATGCAGTATTTTATACTTGGTAATTTTTCTAGTATCTATTATTTGATATCTAAATACAATTAAATACTTACTACCTTTTAAAAAGTAAAAAAAAAATATACAAACATTTTTACTGAAGGTACACATACATGGTTTCTACTTATTTTTGTTAACGAATTAGTATTTAATTAGTCACTAAAACAGCAGACGCGTTTCCTAATTTAATTTTCTAATTTTAGCCACCGATCAGTAAGTTTCATATCTGCTTTTAAAGATACTTTTAAAAATTCAAGAAGTAATAAAGATAAAGATTATTATTAAATTTGGAATATATTTTAATTGCGGTCTCTCTTAAATTGGTTTAAGATTTTTATCTAGGTTTCTTACGGGTTTGGAAAAGACTAACTGATCCTTATATATATCTCTTTCTTTATAGTGCATTTCTTATATTTTATTATTTTGGTGTATTTACAATTCTTTTCCAATAAGGGCCTGGCCTATGAAAGAAGGTATATATGTTCTTTTACATGTCTTTACCTTAGCTATATGATATGCAAAAATAATGCAGAAATAGTTGCTGCTTCTACATTGCTTTTTTTTTATTTGCAGAGTATGATGAGATCATTACCTGGTTTGTTATGCCTTTTGGCAATACTTCATACTTCATATGCACCACCCGTTTCAGGAGACAATTCTAATGAAGACAGTGATGTAAAGGATAATCTGGTAAGATTTTCTTTATGTCTAAGATTCATTAATACTTTTAGAATGACAAACATGTTTATAGATCATGTGAAGTTATAATTATCATTGGATACAGACATAATATTACCATAGACATAATCAGATGAAAAATACTTAGACTGTTTTTTTACACAATTAAAAAATAAATAAATATTAAGTTTATATAAGCAGAATTATTATACATTATTTTAATTATTTAAAACTGAAAATTAATCATAAGTAGATAGATACTCTTTATTGTTTCCTCCAAAAGATTACAATAGTAAACTTATTATAAATATAAATAATTACAAGAAATAATCACAATGAGAAAACAATGGGCAACCTTATCGCTAAGAGCGATCTTTTCCAGGCAACCTTTGAATGGATTATTATTAATTATGATTAATTTTCAGGGTAATATCTGATTCATTTTTAATTTTTTCTATACTCGTAAATGTAAAAGTTATAAACTATTTAAAACTCTTTGTACTGAGAGAAAGAAAACACTTTTTCAGTTTTCTTTGTTGTATCATAACATAATTTACACCATTTTGAATCTGTACATTGAATTAACTATGGCTATTGTAAAAATATTCTAGGTCATATTTATTTATGTCAGCTTTTCCTATATTTGAATTTGGTGATGATTGACTTGTTTTTAATTCAACACAAACATATTTATGAGGAAGGGTGTAATAATAGCCAAAAAGCTAAAGTAAATAAATAAATATCCTTGAACTTATTTACAAAGTGTAATAATTTATTCACACCATCTAATTCCAATCTAAGTAGACCTTGTACTATAGGTACTAGTCAATTATTATATATATAAACCCTTTCACTTCGAATTATCTATAACCCTAATAAGACATATTTTCCCTTACTATTTATTATAATATATATCTTTTAATTTGGTGTGCCTCCTGGCAAAAGTCTCCTCCAGCTCTCTCCACTGAACTCTATCCTCCACCACTCTGCTCCAGTAAGGCCCCAAGGTTTGATGGATGTTGTCTATCAATCTTGTTTTCAGGCATCCCTTTCTTCTATTGTCTTCTCTTGGGTACCATAAACTTACTAGTTTACTCCATTTGTTAATTTTGCAACGTAGCATATGTCCTCTCCGACCCTATTTTAAATGCTCTCTATGGGTTATATATCTGTAACTTTAGTTTTTATTTTTATTTCTTATTTCAAATCAACTATTAGAAGTTATTAATTTATTTTCATAAATACATATTATACATACATTCATAGAACACACCCAGAGCAAATATAATAAATATAAATAATAAAATATAAATAGGTATACTTATGAATACAAATATTTATCTTGTATGGGACCAATTCCAGTGGTCCTGCTATTGGATGATAAGGTGGTATGTTACACTGTTACACCACCACTGCTATCAAGCATTTAGTTCACAAGGGTCAAGACAAATTTGCTTAATTTTTGTCCTATTTATTTAGATTACTATTTTTTTTTTCTTAAATCATATGGAAAAGTGTAATAGTCATAGTACATTCATGTGGAACCAGATAGTGCTCAGGTAGTTTATGATAAACTCTGTAGACACAATCTAAATTTAAATTATTTTTTTGAGCAACCTTTTGTTAAAGATTTTGTAATTTTAATGATTAATAAAATATTTAAACAGTATAATATATTCAGATATAAAAAAAAAAAATGCAATTTGGATATTAAATTTCTATATTACAATAAAGTTTTTGTAATAAACTAAATGGTACAATTTTATACTACAAAGAAGTTAAAAAATATTGAATGTAGGTACCTATGTGTTTATTAGAACAAGCTTCTCTGATTTAAGAATTACACTTAAAAAACGATTAACATCAAATATTAGCATTCAGGGTCATCTCGGTCCGGTTTGTATACACTTAAAGTATTATACTTTAAATAGGCTATTTTTAACTGTATCATAAACATGTTCACAGGTTTTATATATTTTTAATACAGAGAATTGTGAATGTATCGTACTTAAAGTATGTGTTTACTGCTAATAAATATTTTATCATTTAATTTCAGTTAAATTTTATTTGGACTTTTCATTTATTTATATATATGTATAATGCATATACATTTAATAATATCGTATGTAGAAAATACGATATTATAAAATTATAAATGTTTCTTATTTTTATATCTTTTTGCGGACATAAGCATGTTGACAAAGAATGTTCATGCTAGTATTTTTTTAAACCTAGGTAATTTGAATAGAAACCAAGCAACAAATATCTGGGTCCATCCACAGCAAATTACCTTTTATTAACATTTCTTTGTTTACAAACTGCACAATGACTGAGTTCTGGAAAGCATAAAATAACGGTTTAGGATATTTTTTCTCAAAAGAATACAAGTATTTATTTAAATGAGATTACAGCTAAAACTAATTATTAGATCGTAAAATGATCAAAAAAACACACACACACATTTCAAATAGGAAAGAGTTAATGATGCAGGAGACGACAATATATAAAACTTTTCTTATATTGCAGGAGGAATATATGGAATACCACAGATATCTTAAGGAGGTAGTACAAGCACTTGAAAGTGACCCTGATTTTAGAGAGCGATTGGAAAAAGCTGACGTAGAAGACGTGCGGGTTGGTAGACTGTATTATACCGTGCAATGTGCATACACTACGTACTATTCTATTATTTACATACACTGTGTACAATTGTACATTGTTTTTGTTACCTCTCCTTTTCATAATTTTGGAACCCCAAGAGAATATTTCGGGACACAATTCAGAAAATCCAGACCTGAGGAAATTCAAGAAATTTCGTTTCTTAAGTTGGCCGACCGAGAATTTAACCCGGGACCTCAATTTCGCAAAGCAACGTGTCTACCATTGCGCTGCGGATCTCGTCAAATAAAATGATTATAATTAAATTTCGGACTTAATAAAAATATATATATTATTATTATTATTATTATTTACTGGCTCTCTTTTAATTTGATGTTTAATATTTGTTTTTAATATTGTTTACTAGTCAGGTAAAATAGCTGATCAATTGGACTTCGTGAATCACAATGTAAGAACAAAATTGGATGAGATCAAACGCCGCGAACTTGAGAGGCTGCGTCATTTAGCAACAAAGGTAAATATTTAATGGTGTACTAATGCGAAAAAGACCAAATATTCCCTTTAACTTATTTACTCAGTTTTTTTTATAAGGAGGTTTTTTTAATTGAATTTTTCAATTTTGACATTGACAATTACAAACACAACAACAGAACTAAATAGGTGTAGCGATACCCTTATATACGTTCGGCAATTGATTTTTGTTTATTTAGATATAAGACGCTAAGTAACATACTTTTGTATTCATTCATAAAGTGGAAGAATATATTAACAATACAGTATGTCAATAACAAAATTTATTCCTTAAAACTAGTGTTATTATTCATTAATACGGTTTCAAAAAAAGTACTTTTTGTATTTATATTTTTATCATAATAATGGACATGTATAGGTATACCTTGTACCGCGTACTACAGTTGGTGTAAATACATGTTGTTTTTTATTAATGAGCATTAATTATTAATGATAAATAAATTGATTAAAATATTTCTTTTCAGCAATACGAACTGACTAACAATTTAGATGCTCATATGGGAAAAGTTCCAATAAACGAACATTTGGACCAAGCAAATCCACACACCTTCGAGATTGAAGATCTGAAAAGACTTATCAAGAAGACTACATCAGATTTGGAAGAAGCAGATAAGCAAAGAAAAGAAGAGTTTAAGGTTTGATATTAAGAGGGCATTATTTTTTGTAGTTTTTTTTTATTGTAAAAACATAAATATTCTATAAAGGTTTGTTTTTAAATTATCGTTATAACTACAACCAAGTGTAACCATAATATTTTTTTTATAGTAAGTACACTTACAAAAATACCAATCTTGAAACGTGTTCATTTTCACTATTATTTATTTGTTACGTAAAATTTACAGGAGTATGAAATGCAGAAGGAATTTGAAAAACATCAAAAATTAGAAACAATGAATGAAGACCAGAAGAAAGAATATATGAAAAAAGAAAATGAAGAAAAGAGTGCTAAAAAACATCATAAACCGGTAAATATAGGATATTATTATACATAATATATTAAGTAGCAAAATAAATGTGTATAAATCTGATTGTATTATACGTTTCGTTTACTGGACCCGGATTTTATTGAATTAGTTGGATAATTATGTGGCGAATTTGCGGAAATGGATTAGTTCAACATGTTAATATTACCACGAATTTTACTAAATGTGGAAGAAGTCGAGGGTTATGATCAATACTTGCCAACGGTCTACTACTAATCCTATCCCATCTGTGATCCATCTTGTAAGCATAATATTTGTATTAATACGGAAATTTAAAATGAATTTTGTTTAAGTAGCTTTTCTTAGTATTTATACCCCGAGCTCCAGGTCAACACGGTTACTTCCTGGAAATTAACTCAGAGTGAATAGAAATCCCGGTCACTCGCCTGTCTGATAATGGGTTTTATTATATTTGAAAATAGGGAAACAGTGCGTATATTTTGAAATACTTCCATTTTATCGCTTTGTGTTCATGTAAGTAATGTGATAAGCTCACACATTACGTAAACAACCGCTTACTTTCTACGTTTGTAATAATGATTTATTAATTTCCGTGAAAGCATTTGATAAAGGTTTATAGTTAAATATTTCATAATATTTATTTTATATTAAATAATGTTACCCTAGAGGCGATTGCCCACGATGTGACAAAGAACTACTGATATTCCTTTTGTTTTAAATTGGTAGAAATTTATTTGATTGGTATAGTTTTAGTGTTTACTTTATATATCTATACTTTTTCAAGTGGGTCACATACATAATACATATATTTTAAACCGTTTCTACCAAGAAACCATATGGCATACCCATACCTATGTCATAATAAATGGTTACTTACATAAACATCATTTTTAAAAATATGTAATTTATTATTTTGACATTTTTGCGATTTTATTATCTAAATTAATATTATAAAGAATAAATATTTAATTTTTGTTTGTAATAAATAAAATAATATTGTATTAAATATGGAATTTAGTTATTCAACTAAAAACTAGATGCTAGTAAAAATGATAAATGCATTTAATACAACACAGCTCCATCATCCTGGTTCTAAACAACAACTCGAGGAGGTCTGGGAGAAACAGGATCATATGGATCAACAATTTGACCCTAAAGCGTTCTTCATGATGCATGGTGAGTTTGCTATTACTTATGAATAATTAACCATATATTATCTGTGGCAGCTCCATCATCCAGTCACAAGACAACAGTTATTAGAAATATGGAAAAAAGCCGACAATATGGATGCGAAAGATTTCAACCCAAGGGTGTTTTTCATGATGCATGGTAAGGTCCATAGCGTGCAAGTACTTAGGTAGGTAGCATAGGAAATAGTGAGTAGGCGATCTATTTTAGACTTCATTTTCTGGTTTACCTTATGAGCACGCTATTTGGAATTTTACTGTACGCATCGCATGTAATTTTCATATTGACGCTTTTGTTTTGCTTTTTTTTGTTTACGTATGTTTTGCGACATTAGAAGTTTACATTTTTGTTTGATTTTACAAAATATTGTTTTGAATGTAACCTTTGATTTTGAGTATGTAAAAATAGTAGGTTTAGTTCAAATTATAATAGTAAATCATGTCAGTACATATAAGTTAACATAATAAATAAACAATAATGCTTTAGTGTTCGTCAGTTTTAACATGTACGTTTGAACTTTTCGTATTTTGCACTATTTTCTGATGTATTGTGTGGAATACTAATATGTTTTAATAAATTAACAAATTTTTTCAATTATATAAAAACAAAGCTATTGGCATCCTTTTAAAAGAGTGTTCTATGCGTCTCTTAACTTCGTATTAGTATTAGAGGCACGCATATTTTTTGCCGTTATATGATCCACATTTCTTTGGGGAAATGTTTAGTTTTACGCATATGACACTTAAAAGGAAGTTAATGATTTATATTTTGTATGGCAAAAGGACAGTGACTTTAAATTCCTATGATCACAGACGTGGATGGCAATGGAGCATGGGACGCTGATGAAGTAAAGGCACTCTTTATTAAGGAGCTAGATAAACTGTACGGACCTGGTGGACCGAATAAAGATTTACATGAACGTGCTGAGGAGATGGAGCGCATGCGTGAGCATGTATTCCAAGAGAATGACAAGAACCATGACGGGCTCATTGACTTCCAAGAATTCATGGTGGAAACCCAGAAAGCTAATTTCAATCGGGATGAAGGTACTCTCTTTCGTTTAGAACGCCCTTTTTTCTTCTTTTTAAAAAGGAATTGGTTATATACAGATTTCTATCAATTTGATTTTACAAAAGTACAGTCGAATAAAAATCTGTTTATAAGACAATATTTTCGCCAATTCTGTGATGATTTTGATGATACTATTGCAATCAGGGTTTTTCCCATTTAATATTGTTACTATTAATTTTTTTGGAACCTTCTCTTATATTAAATATTTTAATTACATATGTTGTTACTTTCATAAACATAATTTTTCATAACATTATTTAAAAATAAATAGCTATTAGCGTAAGAAATAAGAAATATTTATATTTATTAATGTTTTCAATGATCATTATGATGAACATTATGGTTAAACGTTTTAATTTCGTGTCGTGTTCGTGACGAAATGCCTAGTGTCATTTAACGATTTAGTTGTCATAAAATATCAATTAATATTAATTATCATTTTGTGATGTATATTTCATTTAATAGGTTGGAAATCCATCGACGAAAACCAAATCTACACTCAAGCGGAATATGAAGCATATGAAAGAAGGAGGCTTGAAGAATTGAGATATTTACAACAACGTGGATTAGTGAGTAACCATTCATATTTAATATATTTGTTTTGGTAACATCAATAGACTGATGCCTATAAATATTGATAAATCCTATGCCTGGAGTCATTTCTCTTTCATACCTAACAAGCATTATCTATAATTGCTTTATTTTTATACATTTAGATTTTACATATAAAATTTTATGGTTTTAAACTAATAAATATTTAAAGTTTCGCTTTTAGTACACATTTATCAATATAGTTATTAAACTGTATTTATTATTATTTTATTTATTTATTTATTATTAGTATTATATTATTGTGTCTAACGAACTATTAGTGCAACCTAGTCTAAACCTAGAGTGAGGTAAAAATTTATTTTCTTTTGGACTTTTAAAATTAATATTCTATCTATAGATAGATCAATGACCCATATATTTGTTTATTTCGTAAATAAATGACTTACAAATAGTATGATTGTGGTGTGATTATTGCTTCATTTGTGTAATAGTCGGGGCAGAGTTCTTTTATTTCTAGGCCATGAACTCATCGATAATTATATGTTTGTTATTTATTATCACTGAATGTACTGTTAGATGAATTTTATTAAAAAACACGTTTATAAATAAATGTGATTTTTAAACTACTTATTCTTGCTACTGTTATGTATAATTCGTATTTAAGACCTATCCATATAACACACGAAACTACATTATTAACAAAATATAAGTAGCAATCAATAAAGATTTTTACCCCTTTATTTCATAAAAACGTCACATCTCTTTTGAAACTATTATAGCTTTTGAACTGTTTTGTCTCATTCTTCTATGCTAAATTCTCAATTTGAATGCAAGTGATAAAACATTGTAATATTTAAAGTAAACTTATAGGAGGTTTCAGTTTTTATTAATAAATAGTCTTACTTTTTATTTCCATTTATTAATGTTTTATTATTATTGTCTTATCTGCAGTTTCCTAATAGAATTTATTATTATTAGAGGGTCGAGTAAACCAAAAATTTTTTTTTCTATAGGTTGACGCACATGGTCGCCCGATTCCTGGTACTCAACATAAACTTCATGAGGCGTACCAACAGTATCCCGCGTATCAGCAGCAGCAATATCAACAGCAACAATATCAACAGCAGCAATATCAGCAGCCTCCATCCCATCAGGGCCAACAGTATTATCCTCAAGGTCAAATGCCGCCAGTACAAGGTCAAGTTCCGCAAGGTTGGTTTTTGTAAAAACCTATGTAACTACTATGAAAGTAGAGGTTAGAACAAAAGTAATATCAACTTACAAAATCGTTCGCTAATTCCGTTGGACAATTACTTAATCCTATTAGGATGCTGCTAACACTTAAACTACGCAAAAAATACAGGACCAAGGGAATAAGGATTTACTTAATTGTACCTTAAGAAATCTGTTAATAAACATTAATTTACTTTGGTTTAACACATTTACTTATTTCTGGAACAAACATCATTATAAGTTGACAAAATTGAGAACTGAACAAGGATTTATGTAAAATGGTGTCTACCACTGACATGCAGGTTGTCTAATGTTTATTTTATGACATATTTAGTAACGACATAATAATATAGTTAAACGGGTTATAATCGCATTGTATAATTTAAGATGAAAAACGCAGCGATATTACAAACAGCCAATTAACATTTTTGACCTATTGTTATTTTACTTGTTCCATTTCGATTATAAGAAAATCATTAAGTTTTAGAAATTTGCGGCTATTGCTCTGAAATAGAAATAGTTATAAAGATACAAAAATAAAAAATAAATTCATGTAGGTGTCAGTACATATATAATTTATCTTTGTTCCTATTTTTTGTAATTATCTGACTTAAAAACTAATTGTAATACAATTAATATTAAGAAAAATATTTCTATTAGGTTATCAACCTGCGCCTGGACAAATCCCACCACAAGGATATCAACAGCATACTGGGCAGGTTCCTCAACAGGCTTACCAAGCTCAGTATCAAATTCCCCAAGGACAGCCACAAGGGCAATATCCAGGTCAACCACAAGGACAATACCAAGGCCAACCACAGGGACAATACCAAGGTCAACAACAGGGGCAATACCAAGGTCAACAACAGGGACAATACCAAGGTCAACAACAGGGACAATACCAAGGTCAACCACAGGGACAACACCAAGGTCAACCACAGGGCCAACACCAAGGTCAACCACAGGGCCAACACCAAGGTCAACCACAGGGCCAACACCAAGGTCAAGTGCCTCCTCAACCGGGTCAATCACAAGGACAATATCAAGGTCAAGTTCCTCAGCAACCTCAGGCTGGTAATATAAACCAAGGACAGGCCCCTCAAGCTCAACCTGCACAAGGACAAGGAGCGCCGGCCCAAGGTCAAGCTTCTTCAGTTCAAGGCCAGGCATCGCCGGTCCAAGGACAAGCGCAACAGGCCCAACCACAACAAAATGTTCAAGGTCAACCGCAACAAAATGCACCACCTCAATCGTCACAAAACCAGGGTCAAGCAGCTCCAGCTCAGGGTCAAAATGCGGTGCCGCCACCGATTGACGCATCTCGTCATTAAATACTCACCGAAATAATTATAATTTTTTTTATTTCTCTTTTTGATGACACTAGTGTATATATAAGTACATTGTATATTTCACAAATGGTGCCAAATTTGTCTCAAGCTTCTATTCTACATATAGGGTCGATTTTGAAATATTTATCTCTAAATTTCTCTCAATTACTGTGGCACCCTCTGTTCTTTAAAGTTTGGGAGCCATCTTGTTGGACACGGAAACCTATGACATGATTTTTCCAATGTCGGCTTTGCATGCACTTTGGAGCACTTAATGACATTAGTTTTTTAAATAATCAGAACATTAAGAGATTTAATATTGACTGATTTAGAGAACGACATTACAGCCTCGGCCCATTATTTTTAAATTTTAAGTAGTTTACGTTGTGAAGGAGATTAACAGTAGTAAATGATGAAACAATTTTAATGTTTTATTTCTTAACACCGGTTGGTATTAATTTATGTGGAATCTAGTAATGCTAGGATAGGTGGAAATAGATATTTTGTTTATTACTGTTGCAGTAGTAGTGAATGTAACGTTAAACTTGCCACATTTCAGGGAGTATATTCAGAAGTCAATTATGTCAGAAGTGAAATTACAGTATATACCTCTGTCCTATTTTATACCTTCCCTCCTTCATGGGATCTTGTGATCCCTTAGATTATGAAGTATTAGAAGATTAGTAATGTAAAAGAGGGAGAATATAATAATTTATGTGTTAGAGCGGGATTGACAATTGGACAATAATAATAATTTCTAATTATTTTTACGTTATGAAGTAGAATTAGTTTTATGTAAATGTAGTTTGTTACGAGTTAAATATGCTGTATCGAAAAATAACAAATCATCAAAAATATATAAATCAGGAAAATTAACCACAAATTTGCACATTTTTTTTGTAATTATGCTGTAAATATTTATAACTTAAAATCGCAATATTCTAGAACAATCAGAAGTATCTAATTTAATTCACATAAAGATTCGAACGTCCCTGAATGGAAAATAATATTATAACAAATACGTGATTCTTTGCTATTTTTACAATTTAAATTCCATACGAATTCATATCCGTCACGTGTACAATTTACAAAACACGCACACTAGTCTAGTAATTTTCTTGTCTCGTTTTTGTGATAGCATTGCCAGTCTGTCTGTACTTACTGTCAGTACGTAGTATGTTATACTACATCTATGCGTGGCTCCATCTGCACTATTGGTATACACTGGCGAGTCATATGTGAGTTTTTTTTTTTAATTTTTTTTATACAACTTAGAATGGCAAATAAGCTGACGGCCCACCTGATGGAAAGTGGTAACCGTCGCCTATAGACATGAGCAGTACCATAGACATAACAGAGTATACTGTTTCGCCCATGATACCCACCATATGTTGCTATTCCTGAGGACTCAGGTGTTATTCCTCCGTACCCAGTAAATTCACGTAATATCCCACCCTTCAAACCGAAACACAGCATGGAAGTTGATCTGACAGGACAATGGGGTTACTAGATCCCGTTACTAACAATCTACCTTCTCCCATATATCGTTATTTAGTAAGCGAGGAATTTGAAAATCATTAACTATTTATATCCTGTGGCATTTCTGCACTAATTAGGATAAAAGTGTTGTTTGTGATAGACGCTGTGCATACAAATACGGATCCAATAAAGAGCTCGAATACGTTGACCTGTGTTCTTGATTTTCTTGAAAAATGGTATCTACGAGTATATTATAACGGTACTTCAACCCATGGTGTTATCCATCAATATATTAAATTACAAATCTATCCACCCATTTAAATATAAATATTAAGTGAACAAACAAAAAAAAAAAAAAATAAAACGTCTAAACACACAATTATTTTATATTTATAGATATCCACATTTATAATAATACCAGGAATATTTGTACTATCCCAGTCACATGAATCGGTCTCTATATAATAACTTAACTATCCTCTAATTGTAGAAACATCATATATTTGGCCATGGAGGAGCAAATTGAAAAATGACAAGGAGGTCTAAATATATCTGATAATTATTACCTTATTGGGGAAGATGTTGTCATACCAGAAGTGCGTTTGTTGTTTGGAAATGATGTGTAGTGCATACGAAATAAGGTACATCTACCTAATATGTCTGTACGAATGATGTCCCCATATCAAATTCATAAGACTTATTCTGTATAATAAGGGACATCCCGCACAAGTACGAGTCATGAATCATGCTTTGAATTCACTATTTTCCTGTTCTGTTTATTTAAAAGATGCGTACAAACGTCGTTGCAAACGATAGCAAATAGGAAGTAGATAAATATATAAAATAAGTATATATACCTCTTTGGTATGTAAGTAGGTACTACCCTCCTTTATTTATTTATTCATTAGTACAAATATGTGTACATGGCGGACTTAATGCCAAAAGCATTTTCTCCCAGTCAACCATAGGGAAGTGTCAGAATACTCGAATGCGGTACTACTAATTATTGATATACATACATACTAAAATTACATATACAAACGAATAAATATATATGAATAACAAATATACTTACACATATATGACATATACTATATTATACACGAAATTGAGAATGATATAAAGCACTTAATGCTCGGATATGGTAAAAAAAGTGAGCGTGAACGTATATATTTATTCATAAAAGTTAAAACCTCCAACAAGTCTACTATAGCTATTGAAGTGTTTTGTTACTGATTTTCAAATTGCGAAATTAGCGCAAAAAAAAAAAACAAAGCACTTCAATAGCTTAAATAGGTTTATGAGAGGGATGACGTTTTTTATAAATAAGGGTGAGATATTTACATTTTTTTTACTACCTTATAAGGATATTCATTATTTACATGTCTACTAGGACTATAATCCTTATTGTCTGTATTATGCGGATTCGAACCCGTAACTATTGACCACTAAAATGAACATCATTAAAAGACAGAAAGAAAATGGTATTAATATTAATGTGTCACCCTGAAAGTGGATTCATTATGAATATATGTAATGACTGTCACGACTGATGAAGTCATTAAATTAAACAAGCCTTTCTTTATATAATTCGAGTCAAGTCACAATATATCTGACTCATTTTTGTGTTTATTACTTACCATATTCTATGCACAGAAATTTGTTTTATGATAAAGGCCAAATGGTAGGTTAAATACAAAAAGTTTAAAACGTAAAAGCATTTTAAGTGTCGTCTGTTTTTAATATATCGAGACAAAACTGTTTGTTACAATATTAACTAAGCTTTTAACAGAATTCAACGCGTTGCTACTTCATTTCATTTTAATTATGTCGTTGACTGCGAGAACAAAGTATAATTGCTAGTGCAAGTAAAAGAAAAAAATCTCTTGACATTGTTTTGCCATAAAATTAAATAATTGTATATTACTAATCAGTAGTACCTTATTTATAAACCATCTTATGTTCAAGGCACTTGCGGTCAAAATAAAAAAAAATATCCTTTATCTGGGTATAGACAAAGATTAGGTATAGATATTTTAATGTCTTACTAATACGTATAGTAAAATTGTAACTCGGCGATGTTTTTATATTAGAGATATTTAAGAGAAAATATGTAATATGAAGGATCTTATTGAGAGATACCTAATAGATGTCAAAACAATAATTATTAGAAATTTTCTCCGTATGTATTTTCTGACATTACGCAAAAACTATTACACCAAATTGGATGCAATTTTTACACTTATGCCCCTAAAGGCTTAACTTGCAAACTAGTGTATGTTTTGTTTTGATACACCATCTAGAAGTGATCAATTTTAATGATTACTTCCGAAATCCATGCGTATGATGTAGCGGACACAAAGCGAGTCGTAAATAAAATATGTAGGCTGGTATAAATAGGTATTAAATCAATCACCTGACAACGTTATGTCGAAAGATTTATTTATTGTATCTTTAGACCTAAAAAGGAATGAGAAATTACATAAGGTTCCCGGTGCTAATGGGGATACATGGACTGTAAAACCGCTTAACTGTCATCAGGCGGCCTGCACACTTATTATTACACACGTGGTCTAAGTTTCGAAATGAAGAGGTCATTTTTGTGGTTTAATAACACAAATTCTAAAACTATTTATCATAATTTACTATGGTAGTTGGTCACTATCTTTTTATAATAATATGGAAGTAGATATGTATATTGAAACGTATTAGCATTTATTAATATTAAAATATGTAAAATATTTCAAAAACAGATAATTTTATTTTTAAACTTAATTTTAGTTTTTCATTGTTTAGAGATTGTTAGCGTTGTGGTTTAAGGTATGTAAACTTCATCATCTCACGACAGGCTACTACTGTGAGCTGATAAAGATTGCCACTGTCAAGATATACTAAGAATTTTTCATCTACTGTTACGCATTTAAATATTTCCAGTTTTACATTAAGTTAAACGTAATTTAGTTAGCGTGGCAAAATTGTCTGATGCGACATGATTGCTAGATTAGGCTTTTTTGTAGGTTATTCTATAAACTTATTTGATGACGTCCAAAGTAAAGTTTATTTGGAATTTTTTTTTCTATATGTTATTACATACCACTTGTCAGATTGAACACTAATTGTAAAACTTACACTCTATTATGAAAAAATGTTCTGATTCTATCACCATTATATTTATTATTATTATTATAAATGTGAATGTTTGTGTGGATGGATGGATGTTTTACTGAACTAGATGTTATTTTGTTTTAATAAAATAATTATAATCGAGTGAGATCTAGTGAAATGGACGTTTCTTACTCTCTCGTGCAAAAACTGATGAATGGAATTCAATAAAATTTGGTACACGGTTGATTGATAACACGGATAAAGTCGGGGGATACAGCTAGCATACGTGTTTTCTAAATAAATAAAATAATTCCTCCTTTCAGTGTTATCCATATTATATTCAAAATCTTCCTCGCAGTCATCCCTTCACATGACATTCCTACCCTAAAAGATTACGGTACGTTATATACTTACATATTCATCCATATTCCGGCATCCTTTGTTAGTCTATTATTTCCTTGTTGCATGTATTGTACTTTTGTAAGCTATTCTGTCAAAATGTTGAAAGCTATGTAATATTATAATTATGTATGTATCCATGTCACATAGACACAGTTTTATTCTATGGGGCGTTCATGTCTATAGGCTGCAGTAATCAATACCGTCAGCATGTTTTTTTAATATATAAAACAATATAGCTAAACTTAATAAACCAAGCGTGGCAACTACTGGCCTCCCCTTTGAGGAGCTCTGCTAGTAGTTGCCACGCTTGGCAGGCGGTTTGGCAAAATTGAATTGAATTTAAATCATCACGCTGCTTCACATTTTGAAGTATTCTTGTATCTAGTATAACCCCATCCTCCTAAAAGGAAGGGGCAAGGAGAAGATATTAATGGATCGTTAGACTAACGACCTATTGCTAGCAATATAGTAGGACGACCTCTCTGTGGTCTCTTTTGGAAATCATCATGGTTAATTTTTGGGGAATTTATAAACACGGGCCAACAATCATTACTTCATCTATTCTCACTTATTATTATTTATCGGCGAACTATGATAGGTGAGGACAGATGAAGTTAGTAAATGAGTAATATAGCAGCACAGGCGGAGTTAACATTTCATTCTCATACCATTAAAAGAAGACCCTCGACAATAGATGTACAGCGGCTTGTGTGGAAGTCTCTATAAACTGCTGACCTATATTTTATATTATGTTGCCATCACTATGCATGAAAAATCATATTATTGAAGCGAATAACTGTACCTTAGAGGTAATGGTGTAAATATATTTATGTTGCTTTTGACTTAATTGATTTATTAACTAATATTTAGGTTGCTATTGACTTAATACGAGAACTAAAAGCTGATTTCACTAAACCAGTTATCAAACAAAAAGTCGGTTCATTTAGTTACCACGACAACATAGACAGATTTCACTTGTATATCTTTATATTTAAAAAATAAATGAATTTTAATATACCTAGCTAATTTATGGTATACAATGAAATTGATGTTTACTTATACTATATACCATACATAAGGGATCGTCTTTGACCCTTTCACTTTTATGTTCATGTAGGGAGACCCTGGAAACCAAAGTATGTAGTTAAATCTTCTTGAATTTGTTATTCTTCATTAGTAGAGAATATGTTTATATATTTTATTACCGTAATAGAGTAAAATATATTCTATATAGTCTATATACTCAATATAGCATAGACAGGTGCACCACAAAAGCAAATAAGGATCTTGACCCTAAAATGGCCACAATACAAAAGTTATAAGCTACAGATGTTGCCATGGTATCTGTTTATTCTATGTGCATGCTTTTCTATAAAAAAAGCATAATTATGTACAAACATCATAACCTCTTGAACTTATTCGGAGAAATAGTTTCATTATCTGTTTTGTAATCAGCGGTTTCCTTATTCTGTCCACATTGACCACTTAAGTAGGTATTTAAATAGACTACTTATTATTCTGAGAATAAATATTAATAAATTAATATTCAGTTTACGGTATAGGTATGTCATATACATATAATATAATATTTGTTTACAGGCAAATTATCTTTTTAATGTAATGTGTACTTACTTTCCTCGAATCTCTAACATCAACATTATCATTTAAAAAAAAAAAAACAAATATATTTATTTATTTATTTATTATAAATATTATTATTCTTAATTCTATTCATATACATCTGGAATTTAAGGTTCCTAACTTAACAAATTTTATATGGGACGTGATAAACCCTAATATTTCGAAATATTACTACGGAACTCGAATACTCGCAGTGAACGTATATAAATTATGTACACTTCCTTTTATAATTATCCTATTAATAAGAGTATAATAAAAGTGGAAGTTTTTAATGATGAATGGATTATGCAAAAACTACAGAAAGGATTTGAATAAAATTTGGTACACGGGTATATGTCTTAACATATAAGGTACTTTGTGTACGGATTCATGCGGATATAGTCAGGGGATACAGTTACTTTTAGAATATACCTCACAATTCAATATCCAAGTGATTTTATAAAGTACGTTTATTTCGTAGATGTGTTCCTACATACTTACAAAACAATTGTTTGATATTTACCTACTTTACCTACCTATCCAAACAATCTGTGGCGCTCTTATATATTTTGTGTATAAAATTATTACAATGACATTCATCGGTTTTATATTATTTTCAATTCAAAATAAATTTACAAAAGATAAATAAAATCATCCATATTACAAGTATATTAGGGTTGCTGTATAACGAAATTAAATCTTTTGAGTACCATTGCCCCTTATTTTTTATATGACATCATCGTCACTTTAAGAATGGTCATAGATTAGATGTATATATGCGTATTATAAGTTTTTTGCCTATGGGCATTTAACTTACAACCATGGTCCGTATTTCTTTTTGAAAGGATGAGAATGGAAAGTAACCCCTACGCTACGCTACTGGTATACCCTGGCGGGGCACCATTGAGTGGTGATAGGTAAGTATGAAATTAGCCTTTATTGTGACGGATTCAACAATAATTAATCACGATGGTTTCCAGGAGAATCACGTGGAGGTCGACTTGAAAGGGTATATTGCTAGCAATGTGGCTGTTAGACCCTATTACTAACAATCCCTTTCCTAATCATTTAGTTTAGATGACTACCAAATGCAATATAGTTTCTGTAAGATACCTACGGTGTACTATATGTTTTATATTGATTCATAAATCTTGTGGCGAGCTATCGCACATGTTTACATCACCAATTTAATGGAATTATCCTCATCATACATAGTTCATAGTTTGCACACTTGTTGCTGTCACATGTTTCTCATTGTTTAAATATTTGAAGGCATTCTTTTTGGTACTACGAGTAGCTTTTTGCCCGTTACATCATAAGTGTGGATTTCGGAAGTAGGAAAAGCAATGAAATTTACCACTTCTAGACGGCGTATCAAGATAAAACATACAGCAGATTTTAAGTTGGATCTTAAGGAATAAATGAAAAACCGAATTCAATTTCCTGCAGTAATTTTTATGTAATGTGAGAACAAACATTCAGACAGACAGAGAGACAAAATTTCTAGAAATTATTGTTTTGTCTTCTATTACCCTTATTAAGATCCCCTTATTTAATATAACTATTTTTATATAACTGTATTTTCTTAAATACAGTTATATAAAACAATAGTTACAATTTTATTACCAACATATTAGTATATCTATATCTTCTCATCGAATCTACTATGATGTATTCTTACATAAATTCCCTAATTTGTACACTATAATTTGTATTATTAATTAAAAAAATGTATAACATTTAGCACTTTTAAACCTATCATTAGTAATCCTAAACCAAACTAGGGCTGAGTGACGGCAATAGGATCGCCACATGCCACATTAGATTCTAATATGCTTGGCAAAATGTGGCTACAGCCAATGAACCTTTACTTCTGATTACCTTATTTGCGTTTATAGTCATGATTATGATTTTAAATTAGCAACTCCAACATTATAATGATTTAACAAAGAAAGCGAAAAAAAAAACTAGGTACCTATCTTATGTCACGTTGTTAATTTGTAGAAGAAATTGCTAATAATTTATGATGATTCTATTTTTTTTCATCCTCAGCCCATTAAGATCTCTCTGCTAGATCCATAGGAGGAAGTTATAATTATTATTACTTTCATTTGGTGGCTTGTTGAAGGGTTTTATTTTTCTTTTGCTGGTTTATTATTCTTTGTTTTCCCAGTGCCTTTGAAGATTAAAATGAGTAGTAAACCTGTTGTTCCTTTTTTTTTCAATCTCCTTTAATGTAATTACGGGATCGGCACTGAATTTTCTCAACTCAATTTATATAGTAAGTATAAGTAAGTAATATAAACTAAACCAGCTATTAATTAAATCGTTACATTCCTTTATTAAAGAACCTTCAAGAATAATAAATAATACGTTAGAGATTTCTATTTACTCGAAATCACCGTATTTAGCTGAAAAACATCTAGGTATCTAATTTTAAATTATTAAATCTATTATTTAATACTAGAGGAGTCAGTGAACTTCGTGTTACCTACAAGTAATTCAATCTACTGATTCCAATACAAAATTACCTATTTTTAATTTTTCGATTTTATTAAACTTTAGTATTTTTTATTTTTTCCTTTTAAACTACCCCTGTATTTTAACGTACCCCCCTGTATAGTAACGAACAAAACAAAAAAGAAATATTCAAATCAGTCAAGTCGTTTTTGAGTAACGAACAAACGAATAGCAACTGATTTTTGTATGTAAAAATTTTTGTAAATGTAAAATGTAAAAGTTATTATATATTACATTTATATAATACAAAAGGCGGCTAAACAAAAAAGCAAACGGTGGTGGGATTTGATTAGGTTCTTCAAGGTGATTAAATTGAGTTTCATAGTTATATGGCGTGTAAAGAGAACAATTTATAATAAAACGAAGGGTTGTGAGAAGGAGTTTCATGGCGGAGGTTATCAGCAGTGAGCAGTGCGTTAACCATGATTTGCACATCACCGAGAAATATAAATCGTTCTTTAAGGTTATTAGGAAAAGAACAGAATAAAAAAGAGAAAGAATATGTCATATTATTGTATAAAGTACATTATATTAAAATATTCAGTAGAAGTATATCTATATAATAAATTTTATTATTGTTATTAGTTTTTGTATCGTTATTTATTGCTAAAGTAATTAAGTAGGTTTAGTTACAGTAATATATGGAAATGTTAACAAAAAATTGCTAGATAATTTGTAGTTAGTTTGTTGACCCAATTAACAATAATAAAAGAAAGTTTCTAAAAATGTCTCCTCATTTTTATTTTACAATTATTACCTACACCTAGATCTTCTTCTTAGCATGTAATAGATCATCTTAGCATGTAATATTAAACAAAATAATTTTATTACAAATAAGTTGGTATAGGTAGGCACCTAGCAAATGAAGCAAGTAGGTATTTATAATTAATTGTTAAAAAGAAAACTTAAAAGATTTAAATTTTTAGGATTATTTTACATAAATTTATTTATGTAAAGTTAGATTAGGTTATTCAGCTGGACGACGGATAGGATGAAGATGAGAAAAATAGTAATAGTTACGAAATATTGAGAAAATAATTCGATGATATTGCAATTAGATAATAATGATAATAATAGAAATCAATGAGTTGTCAAATGCGGTCATCACTACTCTTTGACCCCACCACTAATGGCAGGCAATCTCGTTGGCACAGCTCGGTCGAGGCTCATTCGCCGCATGCGCTTCGTCTAGAACACCAGTTTCCACATAACATAGTCAAACCAGGTCGACATCATGAAGTTTCTGCTGGCCTTCACCGGCCTTCTAGCCGTGGGTTTCGCTACTAACCCACCATCCACGACGAAAGTCGTCTGTTATTATGACAGCAAGAGTTACGTCAGAGAATGTAAGTACACTCTTAATTAAAGGCTGAGCGATCTTATTCGAGGCTTGCGGATTTTTATTTTGGAAACATGTCCTAAAAATCATAACCGGTTTTTTATATATTTCTTGTTTATAATAATATCATCGCTCTTAAATAATTATTATTTATGTTGTCTAAAGATTTCAATTTCACAATTTTGCTTGTTGATCTCTTTTTATTTTTTAGTTTACTTTTTATCACTAGGCAATTCGAAATTGAATCACTGCTATTACTTAATTATTACTTAAACTACTTGTAGTTAAGGTAATAATTAAAAGGGTGATGGGGATCAGTACATTAAATTATTGTTTGTTTTATAGTAAATTTAGATGCAAGAAATCATGCCGGTAGTTATACTAAATTTTCTCCAACAAAAATTTATTTATTATTATAAACTCTATCACACAGAAAATTATAATAATTTTTTATAAATTTTCGCTGTGGTAGAGATTTTAAGATTATGGATTTTTTTATTCATTATAATTAATTTTTAATTGGATATTTAGGTTAAAAAATATATTAGTGTAAACGTTTATAGTTTACATAGTAGCTCAAGCGTATCTGTAGGTAATGTGTTGTTTGTCCAAGTAGATCTTCAGTATTGAGGCCATATTCAGATAGCATGTTAGGTATATCTACTTTCAAGTATTTTGTGCTATTCATCAGAGCAATAAACTAGATTAATTTTAGATGTTCATCAAGCTGATGAGAGGATGGAATTTTTCTATTAATATTGCAATTCATGTAGGGGTACGGGTATTAAAACATTTTCAAATAACTATGTTTTTTTTTGTTTGCTAATGAATCGAAAGTATTGAGACAGTCTCATACTGAGTTATAGGAAGAGATTCTTATAAGTCAATATGACGTACTTCTAATTTATGCCTGCCTGAAATATAACAATACAGTTGGTACGAGTATTGTTCATTGTTTGTACAACACAGGTTACCCAACTCTTTAGAAAATTCTTTATGTACCTAATGAATAATGTATGTGATATTGTAGGTGTTTATTTACTGATAAAATGCAAAAAAATGGCTAAGACGAGTTTTATAGAATTTTATTCTTCAGCTGTTCCTCGACTTTATCCGATTGACCGGGATATGTTCACTGACCGGGATAAGAAATAGGCTACATCCTTCTCCATTCTATACAGTAGGCTACATTTCGTAGTGATTGGTTAAGCCGTTAAGACGTGACAAATAAACAAATTCACTTTCATATTTGTAATATTTTTGTTATATATCATAATATTATATATATTAAGGGTTAATAACGTGGGGGGTGTATTGTATAATAAATTGAGGCAATAAAAAAAGGCTGAGCCGTCGGTTATTGCACATATAACTGTGATGTGTTACCTTAATATAATATCGCATATTTGTACTAGAATGGTAGTACTTAGAAATAGGAGTCAAATAAAATAATTTTGTAGTTGCTTCAAATTATGTCAAGTAGTTTATATTGTTTGATTTTAATTTAAATAGAAAGAGTCTTTCTTTTATATTGTATGGTATTAGTATTCATATTTGTTTGAAATGTAGGTAATTTTTTTGTGTTGAACTAAATAAATGGCTTTTGTTTTATTTATATCTAGTTTATTTGTTTATTTATATGTAGTTGGTGTGGGTTGAAATATTAGGAAAAGTTTAAAATATGATATAACGTATGTTTGTTTGTTAAGATATGTATTTTCGATTAAAGTGAAAATGTGATCAGATTTTGTACAACATTGCAACCGCAAAATTTTGTGTTCGCTATTGTTATCGGAGTTTACTTAACTACTACTACTTTACATTTAGATACGCTTGTAGTATTGGCACCTTGATAATGGAAAATCGATTGAACTATTTTGGTTAACTTAGATAATACGGGTTATAACAAGCAAAGCTGTCAAATATAAAGTAGTCAATTTAAATTTCTTTAAAACGTGGGAAAGTTCACTATTATTTATTTCTGGGATATATGTATATATTTTTTTATTTTATATATTCCTTTTATTTTTGCTACACTTCTACATGTTATAAAACTGTTACGTATGCTAAATATTATTTCTAAATGGCATTAACCTTACTTTATTATATAAAGACCGTGCTAATTAGGTAATGTCAAATTGCAAATTACATGCTTCAAAAACAGGACGTGTCCATTTGCGGCAAGAGAATAAACGTACTTAGTACAAACAAAATATGTCGGAGTTGCCTGAAGGTGGAACGTGTTCTTGACATAAACAAAGACCTCGGTCATGAAGAGGAAAATGTGTTTGTTGAGATATCATTGGTAGTAAATACGAGAGGTTAATAAAAGTTTAGTAAAAATAAATGTCTTAATTAATATTGAGCTCTGTACGATAAGTATTAATTGAATTAATTAAAAAAAAATTTTTGGGAACATTTAAATAATGTAATTTATTCGATTTTTAGCCAACGTTTAAAAGAAAGAGGGTCTCAATTTGTCTGTATTTTTTTGGTTATGTGACGCAATTATTTTGCCTGATAATTATTTTTGCAATGTATATGGATTACTTACGTTGGTACCATTATAGTTTTGTGATTATTGAAGCTGTCATTTTTCATTGCCAGAAAAAAAACTGCTTGTTGCGAAATAAAATTTACAACAGTTAAAGTTTCAACCAAATGTCTCATCATGCATAGGAGTATTTTGTTATGTTACCTTAACTGCTTTATTTGTATTCTTTACAAATAAAGCAGTTAACTTCAAAAAGAAGGCAGTTTTCAATTCCGTTGTTTTTTCTGTGTTTATTATACCGCCAGTACTAAACTTAAAGGAAAATTATTTTTTTATCTGGACTGATATACTTACAAATTGGTCTCAAAAATTATCAAAATTGGTTCAGTGGTTCAATTTTTAGACCAAAATGACTAGTTCTGTCACAATTGAAGTCGTTTCTTTTGTGTAACACAAACTTTAATTATTAACGGAGCAAAACAACTTGTACTTATTTGAGTTTCACCCAGTTTTAGTCACAAAGCGAAATATGAACTTTTACCCGAAGTTTTACTGTACTGTTCGTTAAGATGCGAAATGAGGATGTCCGCAGTAGAACCAGAGTAATCAATTAGCTACAAAGATAAGGGTGAATTTGCCATGGTTGCAATTCGGGCAAGCTGTAAAAATAAAGTGAATTCTAAGCTGTGTTCTTTAGATGTATTTTAATGTAAATAATAATCAATTGTTTAGTTTTAAATAACGATATTCTAATTTTTGAATCAAGAATTTGGAGTAATTGTAAAGCACTTATAATAAATAGTCCGACCTTTAAAAAACTAATGGGGAGAAAACATTCTTCGATGGGATTCGAAACATTAGCCTATTTATCTTGTTCGTGTTGGCATCTCTTACCATTAAATAATGTCGGTCGAGTTTACTTAATTTGAAACCGGATTGGTTTTTATTTTTTTTTAGAATACCGTTTTCGCACTATATACTGAGGTAGGTACATGATACTTTATTTATATGCATATTTATATTCTTCAATATGTTAATCAATCAGATTTTGTTAATATTCAAGTGACTTCAAAGAAGGAAAAGGTTCTCAATTAGATTGTGTTTTTTGTTTTTCTTTTTTTATGTTTCCTGCTGATAACTATATTAGTTTCAAATCAATTCGGATTTTTTTAACCGATGGGATATAATTTCATATTGGTACATTAGAAATATTATTAAATTCCGTTTTGTAATTTAATTTTAAATAAAAATAACTGATTTGTCACAATTTAAGTCGAATTTTTTGTAGAACACAATTTTCCATTATAACTGTTTTAAATTTTGTTATTAGTTGACTTTTGCGTCTTATCTAAGCCAGTCACTCAACTTCCATATGAACAAGCAATAAAATGTGAAAAATAAGAACAATGTAGATAATATACTTAATATAGTACATAATACTACTTAATAGTCAGTTACTATATACTTATTATTATTTATATTACTATTACTTATTAATATTATAATATGAAAGTGAGTTTGTTTCTTACATTTTGATGTTTTAATGTCCTCGCTTATTGTTATAAAAATTATCATATAATATTAGTATTATAATATTAGTATACTCTATTATGTCCATGGTACTTCTCATGTCTATAGGTGATGGTTACCACTTACCATCAGGTGGGCCGTCAGCTTGTTTGGCTTTCTAAGTTGCATGAAAAAAAATTTGTCCCAATTAATCTGTAAACCTCGCTCGGCAGAAGTCGCGAGTATAAAGTAGTAGTGTAACATTGAAGATAATAAGCGTAATGCCTACTTATTATACACCTATATTTAAAAACAGTTGTGATAATTATACGAAATAGCAATAACTCATAACAAAACATCAATTGTGAAATACTAGGTAGAGATATATATATGTATATAAAAAAAACCCAGTCGATACATGAGATATTCATGAAGTAAGACAACAATAGCATGAGTAACGTAATCTATGATATTATTATTTTATTTAGACACATTTATGTATAATTATTGTACTAATACTTATAATAATTGTGCAAAAATAAACAAATAAGCCGATTATTATACAAGCTTTACACAGAATAACATTTTGTTTGTAGACAGAATAGATTGATTTATTAGTACAATAACGTTTAATATAAAGGTCGTTCACATACCTAAAGGCTAGTTCCTTTATATTTAATTCTTTTGAACCAATGAAAAACCTTGACACAAAAAGGAGAAAAAAAACTTTGATTCCTCATTGAGGTACTTTATTTGTTGAGTTCTTGAGGGATCATGGCATTTGTTTTTACATCATTTTCACAATCACTTGAGATTTTAGCAATTCCCGATTATAATCTATAATATTCTAATATTATATACATAATATTAGTATATTATTATTGTTTAAATACACTTGTTATTTTTTTTAAGTTATATGTTCTAATATTACGAATGTATATACATATTCATATCTGTTTATTTCTTTCCTGTGACTTTGCTTTGCGTATGTGCTAAAATATGATATAAACTATTCATGTAGCAAATTTCATTTTCATTAGTTTTTGCATGAAATAGTAACAAATATCCATCCGTCCTGACAAACTTTCGTATTTATAATATTTGTTCTTAATATTTTAATGTACGAAAATGAAATGGAAAATCTCCTTGAAGTATTAGTATACGTTAGTAGAATACCAGTAAGGATAATCGGTAAACAAGAGGTCTCGTCGGTTGGCCAGTGATGAATTTTCGTGAAACTAACCACGATGGTTTCTAGGACGGATCTCTTAGAGGTCAATTTGACCTTAAATATATCCTATACTGCTAGTAATAAGTCCTTCAGACTCCGTTACTAACAAATAATTAGTTATTCAATAATACTTTAATGACTAAACGGATTTAAATGTCATTTATTATACCTACGAATACATTTTATTTTAATTTAAGGGGGCAACGACACAAATTACAACTAGTTTATTTTTTAAGATGTTTTTAATATTCGTATAACATATCATGATAACATTGATGCTTATTTATAGGTAAATACTTTGTGAATCTCGATTTAACATTGACCAATGACCTTTTTCACGGTTTAATACGATATTATTAAATTTGTAATTAATGGCAATGATTTGAATAAAACTTAATAGTACCTACAGCTCAACATTTATATTATTTTATGAATAGAAAGAATATAATGATAAAATTATGTGTAATATTTATGTATAAGTGTACGAGTATATCGTTGTAAAACGAATAATATTCACAAATACATTCTACTTACTTAGTTCTTTGTTTGTGCTACAATAGTGGCTAACCATAATGGTAAACCATAGTTTAAAGACGTCTGTAACATATGTTTCATTCCGTTATCCAAAAGTTATGGAGTTTGTTATTATAATTACTTCACTTTTTCTTGATTAAATTGTAATTTCGGCGTCAAAGCGCTACGTACCTCCTCTTGTTAACCTTCAGTCCCCGATATGCTCAATACCTAATTGTTTATTGACAATAAGTTGATAACGATTAATTTATAATACAAATCTGTGCAAGTGTTGGTCTGACCTTATATCGAGGTGTCAATAAACAAGTGAGATAAACTCGACAAAATGTGCTAGAATTCTTGGAAATTGAGAGAACAAACAATTGGGCACTTATAGTAAGCACGTTACCCAGTTAGGCAACCAGTGTCACTTGGCAGGCATGTACTTAGATAAATGCTTTGTGTGCTAATGATGCATTCAACAATACTATACTGACTAAGCTATCTGAAATAAATTTCGTAAAGTAGATATAGAAACATTTTTCAAATAGTAACAGAGGGCGTAAGAATGTCTATAATGTGTCAACTCATAATAGCTAGGGACGAGGGAGTGGCCAAATAGCTAGTAATATGCCTGTCAGGTCGTCCTCCACGCGGTTCACCTTGAAAACTATAGTGGTTAATTCCCAGTTAATTCATTTCTAAATATAATGTGGTAACTAACATGTACGTTAGTACCCCACGGGTGTATTCTAATAGCAGGGCCGGGTTTATATTTTCATAAAGAAAAACTTAATATACTAATTTCAATATTCCTTCTTCAAATTTCAATCATTTATAAATTTACTTCTAATTAATTAATCGTAAAAAAAATTAATACAAAATAAATTAAAATATAGTAATATACAATAGCATAAATCTGTAAGAACAAAATAAAATATTTATGCGAATATGAAATAGCCACTTTTTGGCGAAACATTTATATTCATCAGTTCACATAATTAGCAAATTAATCGGAGGCGTACAGCATAATTATTTTTCCATAAGAATTCACAAATTTTTGCGTGATCTATCTTAATTATGTGCCTACTTTTCCGAAGTTGAACAACGTCAGAAAGTTATAAGGAATGTATACATCAAACGAAATATATTATAAACTTGACCGTTTTTGTTCGTGACTTTTTCAAGAGAACAAAAAATGCTTACTACCGCAATGGTATTGGAATATAGAAAAAAACTATTCAACCAAGTTTTAGCCTTGGTAATAGCAATTCCACAGTCGTATGATGTGAATTCAGAATTATAATAGATTTAAAAAATAGGTAGTTATTACAAATTGTAGTTGCAACTAGCTGTGTGACGCATGATATTTTTTATAGAGCTTCGGCAACTAGGTAGGAATTCCATTACCTATTTACTATTTTTTTTTTATATGGAACTTAGAATAGCAAGCAAGCCGACGGCTCATCTAATGTAAAATGGTAACATGAACAAATTGATTCAAACATGACATTATAAAGATTATAGAAAAGTGGTTTATATATTTTCAACTCTCATACGAGTATATAGGTTTTAATCTATTGTGTTTTAAAATAGTGACAATGATAATGAGTAATAACTTCTTTGATTTATTCATCGAGATATTAAACTCGGTAAATAATTATAAAGAGTTATCAGGAACTTATTCTTACTCACACCATAATTACAAATACACATACATACAATACTTATACTAAATTATGTTTGGTTATTCGTTATTGCTGACATGATCACTAAGACCATCACCTCGATCATTTAATTATTTGGCGAAAATAAATATCTGCTACATAATTAAAGTATTTTTCTTTGAAATTATAAATTTACAAGAGGTTGAAAAATATATTTAATAATTTTGCAACAGGTCAGATATAGTTCATCTTTTAAAAAATGTAATACTCTGATTGGAAAGGTGATGCTCTAAGATTGTCTCGGTGTCTTGATATAAACAAGATGATAACGTTGACATTATGTCGATATGTTATTTCATTGTTTCGTTAAGTGCTTAATGTAACGGAAACAATAAGATGTAGTTCAATTCAATATGCGTATGTTATGTCTGCCTTAATACTACTTATGTATGTATGAGACCCACCTGCTATTACTACGTATGTGCGTATCTATTTATATTTGAAATCTGCCAATTAGCACAAATTAACTCTAATTATGTCATATAGAATACAACTAAATCAGATCAACATATCATCATCATATCAGCCGTTAATTATTCACCGCTGAAGACAGACCTCCTCTATAAAGTGAGTTTTGTCAATAGTTGCCATGTTTGGCAGGTGGTTTGGTAAATATAAATATATTAAATATATTGTTTTATAATGTAGACCACAATCTCTGAACTAAGTGTCTGTATGAAATTCAATATGGGCAATTGAATAATTGTACTACACCTACTGCTTGTTTAGAACAATTGATATATCTTGTAGGTAATAAACACATATCTGTTTATCTTTATTTTCTTTAGTAAACTTTATATTGGATGAAATTGAAATCATTATCATATTTTTAAATAAGTATTCTATTAGTAGAACTGGACATTTTTCCCAAAGAAATATGAGTCGAAAAACAACCTGTAGAAAGATACAATGTTTTTGTCTTAAGTAAAAATAATGATGATTTATATTATATTTAACCCATGCGCCATAAAGTTACAAGTAAATACAATATAAGTATAACGATAGAGACATTTACCATCATTGTTTCAATTTAATGATCATTAATTTCATATTAACAATATGCTTAGCTGATTTAGTATGATGATATTATAATGGTAATAATTTATCCGTATCAGTATTATTTTTAATTTTAACAGCAATGTGATTTCACCTTAATTTAGTTGAAGGATGTATTTATCCAGCACAAGCTCGTATGCTGCCAAATGACTTGGACCCTGCGTTATCTTTCTGCTCCCATCTGGTGTATGGATATGCTGGTATCCAGCCGGACACTTACAAGTTGGTTCCACTCAATGAAAACCTGGACATCGATCGCTCTCATGACAACTACCGAACCATCACTAATTTGGCACACAAGTATCCTAACCTGAAAGCTCTTCTGTCGGTTGGTGGTGATGCAGATAATGACGACGCTAATAAATATAACCTTTTGGTAAGATTTGAAATGTATTCTTCAATATACATATATATATAATTTGGAAAATTAATTTTCTGTTATGAGTTATATTACCTTGCTGTGATTAATGGCTACTGATAGTGCGTAGATGAGGTCTAATATGACGTTATGCTATTGTTAGGTCAATTATTGTATATCAAATTAGTGATCGTGTTAGTTAATTACAGAAGAAATTAAGTGAGTACAGATGTAAAGGAAAAGAGAGCAAGTGACGTCTTGCGATCTTTATCTTGTTCTATGCAAAGAAAATGGAATTAAAAAAAATCACGTTTAAAATAAGAGGCTAGTGAACAAATCTCACATCACATAGAGTGAACAAATCTCACATATTAATAAGTATAACAAACTTTGACAACCCATTTAAAGGCTTGAAACCAAAGAAAAACGTTCATATTTGATTGCACTCATAGATGTCTTTACTGATCTATTTTTAGAGCCTACGTAATTTTACCTTGTTGCTGTTGTATGCAAATGTTTTGACTGAGTCCTATGTATTATGTTTACCTATTTTGTGGTGACTATTGTTATTTGTTACCCATTTTCCTATAGTAGATTTCTTACTAAATAAATTATTTATTATTTGCAATGAAGTCAGTGTGATATATCAATATTAAATATAATTCAATATTACTATTTATTTTATACCACTTATTTACTATATATTCAATATTGCTGTGTGGTACCAGCATAGAATGGGTCGCCTTTTTCTTTCCCGGAGGTGTCGTAAGAGGCAACGAAGGGAACTTAATGGTCAAGAGATAGTAGCGTGCCTCTTAAAATATCACCAAGGATTAACTGCGGTTGCCAGCTCGCCTGCCAAGTGTGGTAACTCCTGACAAAACGCCTCCTAATGGGGAAGCCTATGTTCAGCTGTGGGCAGCTAACAGCTGATTTGGTATCGTAATATTACTATTATAATTTGGAATATAAACTTTTCAGTTGGAGTCTGCCCAAGCTCGTACGGCGTTTGTAAACTCTGGTGTATTACTCGCTCAACAGTATGGTTTTGATGGTATTGATTTAGCTTGGCAGTTTCCTAGGATCAAGCCTAAGAAAGTACGTTCGACCCTAGGTAAGTTATTTTACAAACATATACAACCCAATTTTTTTTATCACACTACTAATAAATGCATCTATTTTTTATTCAGAACAATTTTAGCGTAAACCTTTGTTGTTATTATGTTTACAATAATTTTGTAGATTTGTACTATTCAGTTGTAGATTAGAAATAAAATCTACTTTTAGATAGATATAAAATAATTACTTTATGTTTCAGGATCTGTATGGCACAGTTTTAAGAAAGCTTTTGGAACTACCCCGGTTGATGATAAGGAAACCGAACATCGTGAAGGCTTTACAGCCCTTGTACGTGAATTGAAACAAGCATTGAATGCTGTCAGACCAAACATGCAATTATCGGTCACAATCTTACCAAATGTGAACTCTTCAGGTGAGAAAACTATTAATGTTTATAAAAAATACATCTTCTTCTTCTTCTTCAAATATTAATAGTACAGATGCGTCGTAACTTATAAATATGAATTCGAAATTCCAACAAATGGCAACAATCCCCAGCATTAACAGGATCAATAATTTTTTTACCTTTAAAGAAATAAATGAAATGTTTTTCTATCTATGCCCATTTTCTAAGTGCAATGGGAAGTCTAATCAGCTCTATGGTTTTTATAAAAAAATAAAATTTTCACAAAACAATTATATTAGATTACCTTTTATCAAGGATAAATGAGTTCACGTAACTTGTTTCAGTTAGCTATAATCTAATAAAATATAAAAAAAATAAATAGTCATTGAAAAATCTCGGTTTTTAAAGTGGTTGTAATATTTTTTATTATTTTTCAGTGTACATCGATGTGCCATCCATTATCAACCTGGTTGATTTCATCAACATAGACGCCTTTGACTATTACACACCTGCTCGCAACCCCAAAGAAGCTGATTACGCCTCACCTACTTACACCCCTCAGAACCGCAACCCTCTATTGAATGTCGATGCTGCAGTTACTTACTTGTAAGTAATTTTAACTTTAGCTGCGACTTCGCAAACTGTGTCTTTATTAAGCTTCATACGTCATAAAAAATGAAGTTCTCAAACATGCCTATAATATATGTAAATGTAAAAGGAAATATTAGAAAAATGAAACCTGAAGATGACGATAAAGTAGCACCTCAATAAATTTACATACACTTCAGTGCAAATGCCAAGCACTAGATATCTTTTATTCTCACTGATTTTAATTAGGTACTCCATCCTATTCAATTATTTGACAATATAGTCAAATGTAAAAATGAAATAAATAAAATGCCTACGAATGCTCTTTAAAATTTATTACCTGTGCTTCTTTAAGTACAATATAATCTATCTTTTCTAAAAATTATTTTACTACATGTTGTATTAATATTAATTACTATTTCCCTTCGACCAGTTTACAGAACAGCGCTCCAACTGGAAAGATAGTTGTGGGTGTTTCCACAATTGGTCGTACATGGAAATTAGACTCTGACAGCGAAATCGCTGGGGTACCACCTCTACATGCTGACGGGCCTGGAGAAGCAGGTTAGTACTAACATTCTAATATGCCTTTGTATTTAATTTTGCTTACTAATTGTTGATTATCATAAATATATCGTCATCAATAAATCAGTTTGTTTGGCCACTGCTGAACATAGGCTTCCCTTAGGGGGTTATGCCAGTAGTTGCTGCGCTCGGCAGGATATTTTAAGAGGGACGCTACTGCACATCCCTCGAGCATTTAGTTCTTTAAGTCGCATTTTACGACGCTCACAGGAAAGAAAGGGTTGCCACATTCTTTGCCGGGTTTACACACAAATATATTTTGCATTACATTAATTTCAGTTAGGTATACAACTAATATTTAATATACAAAAATTACAATTATTAATTTTTTAGTCAAGTGTGGCAATCGGCTTAAAAAGGTATAGTTTTTTTATTATAATACTCGTAGTACCATGGCAAAGATTTATCAGTCGCGACATACTTGTTCACTATGACTTCCAAAACCGGAGATTGGTTTAACCTATGATATATCGATACTGTTTAGTATGATAAAGTATATTTCATTTGTCTATTACTCTGATAATAAAAATAACATAGAGATAAAGGTAATTGCAGGGGAAAAGGGATTGTTAGTAATGCGGACTTCCAGTCCTATTGTTAGCAATATACGCTATCAGGTCGACCTCCACGTGGTTCCCCCTGGAAATCATCGTGCTGAATTCTAGGTGTATTTATCACGATGGGCTAATTGACCTGCCTTTTCATTCTCACCTATTATCCCTCACTGGTGCCCTGCCAGCGTATTCCATTAGCGTAGGCGGGGTTACCATTCCATAATCATCCTTTAAAAAAAAGGTGATTGCATCATCAGATGAATTGAATTTGATCATTCAAATATTAAAGGTGTTTTTATGTGTTACTTCAAACTTGGCGCTCCAAAGTCTCTACAAAATGTAATGTAAAAGCATACAAGTTTTTGATATGAAAAAGGACATAGGTTATTTTTCATCTTTATCAAGTAATATGTTTCGATTATGTGAAAGTAGTCTATAAAGTGAATCGCTTACAGGACCCTACACCAAGACTGAAGGCTTGCTGAGTTACCCAGAAGTTTGTGCTAAACTCATCAATCCCAACCACCAGAAAGGCATGCGCCCTCATTTGCGTAAAGTGACTGATCCAAGCGAAAGATTTGGTAAGTTATTAGACAAACACGTACCTTTGCATGTATTTTTTTTTTAATTTATTTATAAAAGGATCCTTGAGTTCAGCGATAAGGTTTTGTAAATAACTATGGTAGATTTGTCAGTGGCTTTCTTTACTTTTCAGAGAAAGCCTTAACCAAGGATGCTGATTTGTCTAATTCTTTTGGTTGGTACATTTAAAGTTGTAGGTTTTGTCTCATTAACATTTCACTGGGCTTGAAATGTGTTAGCTTAGTAATGCTGTTACACAGCTTTTTAAACAAACAAATGGATGTTTAATTTTGAATGTGTACTTCCAATGTATTGTTTAATTATTAGTGTATTAAAATTTAATATGAGATATATATACATAACAGATATAGTTAAGAAAAGTTATTGGGCTCACTATTTTTGAAAATGTGTAATATTTTTTATATAAATGCTGCAAAACTAAACGATTGTAACAAGGGCTTAGTATTGTTCATGCTTATTGTTAACAATGCTAATAACCAACACACTTTACATAAGTATAGTCACCTGAAAACAAATGTTTGCTAATTCATGTGATGTTGCGATGTAGATAGAAGTTGAATGTTGAATTATTTGTTTCTATATTTTTATGTAGTTTACTCTATGTAGAAGTATAGGCAAATTCAATACTTTGTCTATTTCTCATTTCCTAAATATTTTTACTTATTTGTGATGTCTGTATTCTTATCCCTCTATTTTTGGAAAACAACGAAAGCGAACCTCTCTTACTATCGCCAATTACTATAAATATTAATTTTAAGTTGTTATAAAATAATTTATCAAAGAGCTTGTAATAAATTTATTATCATATTAATTTAAAGATTGAAACAAAATTAATAGTTCAATTTATTTGCTCTATCGTAGGATATTAATAAATCTATAAATATTTTGTAAAAAATTTAACTATTAATTTGGCGCCAATTGCGCTAATTGCATGATAAAATATATATTATTATAAATAAAATATATATAGTGTTTAGTGTATTATTAAGTATATTATGAATTAGCATCCTCCTTTAAAAAAAAAATATCAATCAAACTTTTAACAGATTGCTTTAACAATAAAATTTTGTATTTTATTAGCGTAATATATATATATTGTATTGTTTATTAAGTGGTGCAATAAAAAGTTAATAAATTAATAGATCAATTTTAAGACCCGCATGTTCTTGATCAAATATATTTCTATGTTATTTTTATGTGCAGGTACATATGCTTTCCGTCTTCCTGACGATAGTGGCGAAGGTGGTCTTTGGGTTACCTATGAGGATCCAGACACAGCTGGAAAGAAGGCCAACTACGTTAAGTGAGTATTTTTTAAATTGATATAAATCTTTATGCGTTTCAAACTTGCTAATTTTGATTAGGAACTTTTAATGAAATGTGACATTTGTAATTTTCTTAATTCATTTAAAGATAATAATTTTTTTTTATATCCTATAGCAACTGATTGCAATTTAAATTTGGTAGCAATTTTTTTGATTGAGGAATATAGCTATCATTTTTAACACCCTAAGTCGCTTACGGAGTGAATACAGAGAACCGAGTGCGCCAAAGGCTTCTATGCTTACATTTCTCCTTCATTCATTTTCATAACTCATTCTATCCATACACACGATTCTGGAGACTTCTCTTTCAAGATAGAACACAGTCTATTTGATCATTATACTCATAGGCCAGTCTAGATCTTATATACTCACATAATTTATTATTTGTTTACAGAACTAAGAGACTGGGAGGTATTTCAATTGTGGATCTGTCAATGGATGATTTCCGCGGTCTTTGCAATGGCGAAAAGTATCCAATACTTCGTGCTGCTAAATATCGATTACAATAAATTTTCAACATTAAATATTTCTTTTGATAAGTTATAAATGTTATATGATAAACAATAATAACCATTAATGTCGAGTGTACTATAATAAATTACATTGTAATGTTTTATATCATTACAATTGTCTTTTAATTTTTACATACACTCTACAAGTAATGAAACACACATTAATTCTTAATTGTATCCAAATAAATGTTACTTATATTTACTATTGAGATTTTGAGAAGCCAGACGCTAGGTTATTTCATGCGTATATATTATTTATTATAGTTGTGTTTTTCTTTGTCAGAACTGAACAGATTAAAGAATGTGTATGCTTGATTTTGTATTTTATTTCTTTTACACTTAAATTTCATACAGTACATTACTCGCATGCAAAAGCTTCAAATTACTCAGTGCGCTATGGAGAGGACTATGCTAGGAGTTTCTTTGCGTGATAGAATCCGAATGAGGATATCCGCAAAGCAAACGAACCAAAGTAAAGACAAGCAAGCTGAAGTGGCAATAGATTGGTCATATAGCTCGAAAAACCGATAACCGATGGGAAGGAAAAGTGGCGACCCCGTACGGGCAAATGCAGTGTTGGTTGACACCCCACTAAATGAAGTGACGACCTCAAGTACATTGCGGGGAGTCAGTGGACGCAAGTGGCTCGGGACTGGTCATTATAGCAGTCTATGGGGGAGGCCTATGTTCCGCAGAGGACGAATAATGGCTGAGATGATGATGATGACACTTAAATATTATCGTTTACTTTTACAACTTATCTAATACTTATACTGAACTAACTAACATGAACATGCAGCTATTCTTAGCTAATTAATTCTGAGAGCATCACCGTTTGTTTGAAGAAAAGAGTATTTAAAATAATAAGTACATAAAATAAAAATTAATTATTCTCATGTTATTTCTGTACGTTGTATTGGATGTATGCATATAGGAGTACATATTCGTGTTGAGTTTTGCTACTGCCTTTTTAGATACCATTTATTAAAGTTTATAATGAAATTTTAATATATTTATTTTCTTAGAGTATCGTAGTAATTTTTCAATTCTTTGTAGTTAGTGAGTGAACCTATTTTACGGCCAATAAATAAAAAAGTAATAACCGTCATTTTTCTACTTAAAATTAGTCTATGGAACATAGAAATTAGGAATACTTCAAATTTGATTATTTTTAAACGTCTAGATAAAATTATGTTTGGTCACCTTTTACTTTATTTAGGCAGCCAGTCGAGATTGCTTTTACCGAAAGCAGTACTAGTAAAGCACTCGAAATCATGTCCTACGAAGATGAAGCCCGTATGTCCTGGATCTAGTGGGGGTAAAGGCCCTCCCGGCCCTAGGTTAAAACGTGAGTTAACTTCTGGCAAAGTTCGGTTAGGTTTTCTGCCTGACGAATGGTTCTTGTTTTTTCACTCCAAGACAGGCGTGTCAGGACCTTATATTTTTGGAATTGTTGTCGCTAATTATTTGTTAAGCAAGGAGATTTATGTTCTGGAACACGAGTATTACAGCGGATTATCTATCGCGTTAATGTTGTATTTGATAACTACTAAGATGGGGCCAGGTATAGGTGCCAGTTTGGATAAAGAAGTCGATGCTAATATAGCGGCTTGGGAAAAAGGACGTAAAGAAGAGATTGATTTTTATAAAGATGTAATAAAATCATGCAAGGATGCCCAATGGCGGGCAGAAGGACAAAAAGTATTGATGGATGCTAAAAAAGAAAATATAAGTATGCAACTGGAGGCGATTTATAGGGAGAGGCTAATGCATGTTTATCGAATGGTCAAAGGTCGAATGGATTATCATGTGAAGAGGTACCAAGCAGAAGCTCGCATACATCAGAAGTGGATGGTTGGTTGGATTTTAGAGAATGTCAAAAAATCTATCACAGCCGAATTACAACAGCAAGCGTTGAAGAGCGCCATTCAGGAGTTATCAGCTATGGCTAGTCGCGCGAAATGAATATTTTACAAAAATAACAACCAAACTTTTCTCGGTTATTGCTTCAGGAATGTAAATTTTGAGTAAGGAAATACTTGTATCAAATAAAAGAAAGACTATTGAATTATAAATATTATTTATAACCTTAAAACCCATTTAATAAAAAATAAATTAGTTTTATAACTTTGTGAAATTGTATGAAATTTTTATGTACAAACTGTTTGAGAAATGTGCAAATATAAAACGCATATTTTATATTTCATATTACTACTACTTTCCGATTCAATCTCACAGCAGGTTCAAACTGAAGTAAATAATAGTACTACTACCCAAAATTTTACAGAAAAAGAAGGTAAGAGTAAATGGATTTTATTTATTTATTTAAACTTTATCGACCAATAAAATATGGTACAAAAGGATATGCAGAGATACTGAATGGCGGATTAAAAAATTATATTCTAAAATAAAATGGTAAATTACATACATATAAATATTCGTAAAATAAACATTTATATTATTTAGTAAGGAAAGGTATTAAGCCTACTATTATTATTTTTTTCAAGCAGATTGCTGTAGAGTTAAATTCGAGTTTTCTTTTGCATTGCTGCATGGTGCTTTTACGTTTAGTCGTTTTTTACAAAATCTGGATAAGAAAAGGTAAGATGTAGCATTGTACTATTTCTCAGTTATAGTATGAAGCAATGATAATAGGATCATCTAAATTCAATACACAACACAATAATACATCATCATCATATCAGCAATTATCTGTCTACTGCTAAACATTTGCCTTCCTCAGAAACCGCAAGGAACGGTCCTGAGCCACCTGCATCCACTGACGATAATATGTACGTGCTAGGATAACAATACATTATCTTTGTTTAAATGAAATTGAACAAGCACTTTGAATTGTTTATGTTTTTTATTATTCTACCGCTGGGTTCCCACATTCAGCGGATTTTCCGTTGCCGATATTCCATAGCGGAAGACCGGCGGAACCGTAGTAGCCACATTAAAATTTCGTTGCGGACTGAAAACGAGCGATAGATTTCAGCTTGTTTCCAATAATTTATAAAGGAATCTGATTGGATACGTTGATAAATATTAAGAGAACATCCGTTTATAAAATTTTATTAATGTCAATAATACCATAATTGCTAAAATTAAAAATTTTTTTTTAAGAGTTTGAAAGCGGCATTTATCTATTGGATGCTACATATCTACGTTTATCTATTGGATGCTACATATCTACGTTACATTATTAATTATTGTGTAATAAACCTAGAAAATAATATTAGTCTATAGTATAAAATATTTTTTTATGGAAACATAGCTAATATTCTCAGTGGCAAATGGTTTCTTTTACATTATTGTTTTGTAGATACACTACGAGATTATGATTGGGATCTTTAGTGCAAATTGCAACCTAATGAATATGACTGTACTGGAAAAGGACTTACTTCTTCGAGGTAAGAAACGCAACAAATTATATATCCTACTTAATATTAAAAATAAGATATTGGGTGTTTTTACTCGATGACATTTAAATGGATCAAAATTGAATAAAATCTACGCAAAGATAGATATCTTAATTTAACTGTTAGACTATTCACATAAAAAAGAATCAAAGTGACCAATATGAAGGTATCAATTTATTGGTAATGTGCAGGTCTTATCTATTGAAGAACCTATAATTCGGAATTTGAAAAAAGATTTGAGCAATGACTTCATACAGTCAGATGCAATCTATGGCGACCCTACACTAAATAGAGTTTGGTAGAATCTATAAATTTCCCTCTAGCTGTCTGAATTGATTATTCAATTGTAATTTGTAGATATATTTTACTGAAATATTATGTGATTTGTTTACATTTAAACGCATAATTACGGTGAAAATGAGAAAATAACTGTCTTTGTAATTAAACGATAAATCCTATAATTACAAAGCGAGAAAAGCGAAATCTAATTTTTTTCGACCATCGTTCGGGTAATTAGGACTGGAAAACGAAAGAAAATAAAATAAAATGTACAAATTGCTGTTAAAACAGACAAATACGGCATTAAAATAGAACGTACATTTATTTATGATTTTTTCTTTTTATTTTCTTCATTTTTAGATTTAAAAGATGGTCGATAAACGAATATATAATTTACTATCAAAATGCTTATTTACTCATTTAAAATTATGCTAATACATATATACATTATAGTTTAAAACAAATTAAATATAATTAGGATTATTTAAAGTTAATTATAATATAATAGACTTGATTTACTTTTATTCTTCTCCAGTTTTTATTATGACATGAAGAGGAAGGACTGCAAAACATTTACTTTTGGCAATTGCCTTGACACTAAGAATCAGTTTAAAAAACTCTCTGATTGTCATAGTAATTGCAGAGGTAGTGTAACAATGGTTTATTTGTCTATATTTAGACAGCTAACTATTAGTCTCATTTAAAATTGCAATAATTTATTTGCAACTGTTTGACAATCGGCTCGCAATTAATAATCTGAATCTACCCATGAGTAATGATGTTATTTAAAAAAAACCTCATGACTCTTATTATACAAATAATATATTTTGATTTCTTTTTGATTCTGGACTTCATAGAATTAAAGCAAATTTATCTCAAAAGATATACCGTCGTTTGCAACCGGACTTTGAAAATGTGATGATTATTACCCAATGTAAGATATTTTCGTAATTTAATAAATTGTATAATTTACTTATGTACATATGTAATGTAGCTATAAGGGAAGAGAAATATCCAAAAAGACATAAGTGAATCGTATAAAAGTTTAAATTGCTGGTATATGGAAATAATTGTAAATAGAGATAAATGGTAGAGGAAAGCACATTACTTCGTCGCCAAATAATTGATATAAGGGCAAAATGACAATAAATGCGGTTGCTGAAACTTCCAAATAAATTAAAACTAAACTCAGTCATTTCTAAATTTTGTATTTTATTTAATTACCTGTATTAACAAAATTTCCATTGTCGAACAATTTGTAGCTGACATTGAAAATTTTTTAAAAAACGAAAGTATTTCCACAAATTCCAACCGTAGCATATTGTGTCCGAATTTAAGTAATTTCTAAAAGACTGAGGTTTTCAATTCCTTTGTTTTTTTAATAGCAATTTTAAGCGATTACGTCGCCAATTATAAACCAATGTTGATAGTTCTTTGTTTCTGAACCAAAATTTACTTTTATTGTACATGGGAATACACAATATTTATAAATACGAACATAACTATTTTCAACTTAATGATGAAAACTCAAGCACACACATACACACACACATACATATATTCAATATATATTACGTGTAACGGGAATTTTATGAATTTAATATTTTTGTCGTTTCCGACATTCGTTTCGACTCCATCCGGAAGTTTTCTTCAAAGCGAGCGCCTTACTCTCCTGGAAGAAAACATTGCAGCGTTATGCCTCACACAAACATATTAAGTTTATAAAATTCCCGTTACATATATGTATATACATACATACATATATATATCTCGTGAAAAAATTATATTAAGTTTAAAAAATAATAAAATCCATATAATAAATTTTGGAGAAGTTTATTTTGGTGTCATTTTACAGGTGGTACTTCGATATGACTATTCGAGCATGTAGAGATTTTTCCTACAGCGGTTGTTGCGGTAACAACAATAGGTTCACCACTGCTCAAATATGCAGTGGCATTTGTGCTAATGCCGTTGATTATTTGAAAAATATTATATTTAAATTACTTATTTAGGTTGAATTGAGGTTGAATATAATAATTATAATTAATTTTAGGTAAATGATTGTATTTTAGCTAAATTATTACGTTATCTTCCCTCTGACAAATACCATATCTCATGCAACGATTAAATATTATATTAAAGTAAATAAATAAATAATTTCAAAAAGATTCGTTTTTCTTTCAGTTATTTTAATATGATCATTCTATCAGAGATTAGTATTGATTTTAGTATTGGAGAAAAAATATTTTTAGAGATTATACGAGATGGGTTTGATGCTCAATAGAAAACTGCACTGAGTCTTAACATATGCTAAGCCGACACTGCTAAAGTATATCCATAATAAGATTACAGTTAATTGCCTAATGAATATTTATGAAACAAATTAATTAAAGAACGATATTAACAATTTTAAGAAAGTAAATTCTTGTTACAAAATTAACACCTGGCACACTTTATATCGATTTGTATGAATAATGTGACTTTAGAATTCAGTATCTTTTAATTATCTTTAGTTTTGTACAAATTTGAAAGCCAACTACTATTACAAACACGAAAATTTATGAGAATAAATAAATGTTTGTTACTCTTTTATGCAAAAGCTATCGAACGATTTTGAATTAAATTTGATACATATATGTTTATATTATAATAACAATGATTATATCCTGCTTTAAAACAGGATACTTTATACAGATACTAATTCACCTAAGTGGAGGCACAGATATAGCTAGTCTTTAATAAATACAAATAGTACGGTATATCATCTTATGGTTGTGAAGGCAAATCAACTGAAGCAGCAATTCGTAACGTGCAACTTTAGGTGCATTCATAGACGTCGAAGGGGCATTCAATAAAACAAATTTTAAGTCGGGCGCTAGCTATGTATGGAATAGACACAATACTTAAAGAATGGGTATATAACTTGCTCAAACAACGAGCCATACAATTCACTGTAAACACTATCGAATCGTCAATAGAGGCTGTCCATAAGGTGGTGTACTATCACCGCTATTGTGAAATAAAGTCGTAAACGAGCTCATAATAAAGCTCAACGATAACGGCCTCTATATGGTAGGTTATGCTGATGATATAGTTGTTATTTTATCAGGAAATTTTGAAAGTACTGTGGTGACCTTGTAACAAATCAAAATAGTGATTAACAGGGAGCATACGAGTTCGCGCGCTCAGAAAAAAAAGATATTGTCAGTCTTTTAAATACATACACATTTAACAAAATTTGTTGAAAATTTCAATTATTTATTTTCTATATTACTTTGTGATTACATGAGAGTAGCTTTTGAAATAATTGAGAGATGGTGCGTAAAGCATGAACTCTCGGTTAATCCTACAAAAATAGAATTATTTATGTTTACCAATAGAAAGTTAACATGTCCTTACAGATTATCAAAATTTTTCAATACAGAACTGAAACTTAAAGAAGGAGTCAAGTACCTTGGCATTATACTAAACTGTAAATTGCTTTGAAGCAAACATCTTGACTATAAACTAAATAAAAGCATAATTGCATTCTACCAGTTTAAAAAGGTGCCAGAAAATAAATGGGGTCTTTCACCAAAAATAACTCATTGGTTGTACAGAGCTGTGATGAGACTAATGTTGATCTATAATGCACTGGTCTGGTGGCTGAGGACAAAACTATCAACCACTGCCGCCTAAACAACAAACCAAAAAACTGGAAGGGCTAATTTGACAATTAGCTGACAAAAAGTTGAACCGTTTTGAGGCAAAGATAATTTAAAAATAAAATAATTAAAATTCTAAATTTAAAATTTGAGAGTGTTTATATTCGATATTGTAACGCCTTTTATAATAAGTAATAATAAATAATAATAACGTAAGTTAAAGGAAGTGATTTAACTATCCGCTGAGATAGAGGTTCGGCCTAGTTCGATGCCTAGTAGATCTAACTAAATGTAAATTATTATTCAATAAAGACAGTTATTATTATTATTATTACTAACCTGTAATAAATCCAACCAATTATCACATTGTTTTCCCTTTTACAAAAAACCTTCTGACGCGAACACACATTTCGTCACATATCCATATATAAGTCATATAAATTGGGCTTGTTACAAAGCAAACAAGAAACATTAAGCGTGCGGAACTCATGAATCACTGGTAAAATAGCATTTGGTATTTGCTCTTGAAATAAAGGTTACTTCATCCTATTCCATCGATATTCACCCCTCCACGCCTTTTATGATAATGCAGTTCTATATGAAAATTTTGTATAGTACTTGTTCTCTAGCAGACGACTGTTTCAATTTTACTTTGTTCACATTGGTCGTATTTATGCTAGTAATACACGGTATGTATAATTTAAAAACTTAAATTTTTCTTTACAAATTGAATAAAGCGACTTATATCGTAACAAAATTCAGAAATTGTCATATATTAAACGTGTTTTTTTTTAATGGATGATAATGGAATGGCAACCCCATCCGGGCTATCGGTATACACAGGCGGGGCACCAGTGAAGGATGATAGGTGAGGATGAAGTAGGTCAGTTAGTCCATCGTGACGAATTCAAAAAGATTTGTTCACGATGGTTTCTAGGGGGAACCACGTGGAGGTCGACCTAATAAGGCATATTGCTAGCAATGGGGCTGTCAAATTCCATTGCTAATAATCCCTTTCCCCCCATATTAAACGTGTTTACATTTTATATATAAGTTTTCATTCTTATTCATATATACATAAGTGGATCGATGTAGCTATCAGGGAGACTAGACTAAGCTGTAGAAATTGCATGATATGAGAAATGATAAGATTAAAATCTCTGGTGCCCTGTTTTTTTTCTACATCGCAACGATCTTTGAGTAAAAATAAATAGATATCATTCATGCGAATATAATATTTACATATTAATGAGTAAAATAGCTTTACAATATATGAAAGTATATTCTTATCAAGAAAGTTCAGGAATGGAATAATTATTATGATCATAATGAGCTCTCAGCGCAACTTTATTAATTCGTGACATGTTAATTTGTTACCAGTTTGTAACGCTATTAAGTTCGCGAGACGTCTGGCAGACAATTACTTAACAAATACGGGTGCACTATACTTTAACTATGTTCATGTTAATGGTTTAACATTCTCTCAATTTCCGATGGATGTGAGTTAGATTTTCGTACAATACACCTGTCTATTCATATATATTCTAGGAGTTTTCTCTGTTTCAGTATAACACACACACACACACACACACACACATACACACAAATATACATATACGTATATATATAGTACTGAAATCGATTGCCTTTCTCTTATACTAACATAAAAGTTTTAAAGAAACTTTATACTGTGCTAACACAGCGGCGCAATCAGTCATATTATTCGGAAATCTTTGAGTTTTTGTCGTTTTTCGAAACATGGAGTATGTTCAGTTTCAGAGATAAAATACTTCCTTATGTATTTATAATAAAATATTTATATGTATTAATTGTTGAATACCCATAGTAATAAAAAGTATAGCCTTAGTTCGGCAATAAATAGCTTTGGTAACGTAACAATTTAATACACTGCTTTACCTTTTGAGGGTATCAAGTTCTATCCTCACTTAATTAATCAAACAATTTTATATATAAGTCTTGATGTCTCTGCATTATGTCCTCTACAGATTAACCTATTATCTTTTTATTGAGCGCCTATTTTTTTATTTAAAAGAAATTAAAAAAAGCACTGCAATACTAAAAGAAAAACGAGTAAATTAGTAAGAGCTTTTAATTTTTATAAATAAAAGGCTTTCATGTCCTTTTTATATATATGATATATACATAGTTTGAATTGGGCTTCGGAAGTATACCTATCTTAAATATTCAATATTAATATATTTACAAAAGGTTCCTTTTGTCTCACGTGTTTTTGACAAGGGACGGAGGAGCCTATTAACATTGTTATTGTTGTACCTATTTAAGCTAACATATGATCGAACATTGCAACTATTAAAAATAATATCGAGAGATAATTTTTTAAATGCAACTAAAAGTAATTATAAAAAGTGTCTTCCGTTAATGATGTTGTGCGTGGATATAAGGTGGCGTTTTCGACTATAAAGGTTTTTAGTCTGATTTTATCTTATCTTACTTATACAATAAAACTGTAACTAGACAATGTCTGTACATGGAAGACCTTCAAGAAAAAAATATATCTGAAATCTTAATAAAAGCAATCATCATCATCATCATCATATCAGCCCTTAACTGTCCAATGCTGAACATGTTTTAAGAGGGCCGCTGCTGCCCATCCCTCGCCCTCCCTTAGTCACCTTTTATGACATACACGAGAAAGCAAGGGGTGGCCTATTCTATGCCGGGACCACACGGATAAGGTGTAATATAGCAATACTAACCAATAAAACAATTCATTAAGTACATGTTTTATCTTGATACGCAGTCTAAAAGTAGTCTACTTCTTTTGTTTTTCCTATGAAATTCACGCGTACAAAGGACAGAGCAAAAAAATGGTTTTAAATATAAATAGGGGGTTTTAGTGATGGAGACTAGCGACTTTATTGCTAGTAATGTACCCTGTCAAGTCAACTATCGCACAATCCCCTTGGAATCTATCGTGGCAAATTTGTCACGATGACTGACTTTATCCTCACCTATTATCCCTTACTGGTACTTCGCTATCGCAATACTCAGTAAATTACCAATAGTGTGGGGTACGAGGTGCATTTAGAAATTAAACCTTATTCTAACTATATACTAATTCTTACTATAATATTAGAAATGTGAAAGTAAGGTTGTTTATTAGTTAAGAGTTTTAAAGCTTTTTTAATGGATGATAATGTAATAAAACCCCGACTGTGCTAACGGTATATGCTGGCAGGGCATCAGTGAGAGATGATAGGTGAAAATGAAAAGTTAGCCTATCGTGATGAATACATCTAGATTTCAACACGATGGTTTA